CTGAAAAAGTCGGATCGGTCCATCCCTATGTGTGTGTACAAATTTAACCCAGACACTTCGATACCCTCACCCTCCAGACACAAGGATGCAAATGTCAAAGGCCCTTGCTACCAAACATGTGTTTTGCAGGTGTGATGGGGAATGGACAATGGCCAATTGTTTACCCTTACCCCAGTGGTTCCTCTCAGGCCTTGTACATAGTGGCTATTGACTCACAGCAAGGCATGACAAACAGCGTGCTAACTTAATCTACACTTCACTGGGTTGAAGCAACAGCTGAGACCACATAAACTAGGATAATAACTTGAGGGAGAAGAACGATACCAAATTAGGACAATGACATAAAACTGCTGGGAAGCCTTGATGGCCAGCCACAAAATCTCCCTTACAAGAGACTCCTTGTCTTTCTTGCTGTCTGAGCCTCTCTATCTTCCGTCTCCCTCCGATTCTTTTGTACAGCTGTAGTGTTTGTGTTTATGCACAGAAAATAGCAGCAGTGCAGAGACTGTGCGACCCAAGGGCGAAACATCCAAAGCACAGGGACTGGGAGAAAGCACATGGCTCAGAATAGCTTGTTGTCCCCAAGGGGCTTTTCTGTCCTGCTCCACTCTCTATCGCCACTGTCACTCTGCTTTATCGTTTTTCCAAAGCTGAGCATGCAGAACACAGATTCACCAACAACACTCACCATCACAAACTACCTAACATTTTCCCCATCTTAACACAGGAAATAACAAGCTGGAGTCTGAGGAAGGGGGCTCTCTGTCACCTCACCCTGCATCTGACCCAGCCTGAGAACCATCTCTTGTCCTTACTGCTACCTCCCCCGTCACCTGGGGGAGGGGGTGTCTAAATATAACAACGACTACACAAAGTTTTAGACACTGGAGTTGCGGACCAGCCCGAGAGGCCTTGTTTCCCAGAGTGGCAGCACTTTTTGAGTGGTGGTATGAGGAGGACAGGAATGTCAAGGGAACCGTATTCATAAACACACAAAACCACAGGACCCTGCTGAGAAAGCCACATTCTCATAAATGGATCCTCTTCTTGGCAAGGCTGGAGTCATAATACTAGCAGTAAAGCCAGAGAAAATAGTTTAAATAACCAGTGCTATTACATTAAAAATTAGCACTAGTACATTATAAAAGCTTTGTGAACTCATATTTGTATAACGTATATATATATAACATTTAACAAAGAATAATGCATGGTTAGGAAATGTACAAGGGAAATACACAATGTTTGGGGAAGTTATGCAACCTCACGGTAACTGTTGGGTTATTTTTAAATTCCATCTTGTATCTAACCATTTTCAAGAATATCCTTAAAAAAACATAAATCTTTCTGCAAATGAAACCTCCTCCACTGCACCCAGGGCATCAATAAGCTCACAGCAACATAAGATCGGATTCTCACTGTTTGTAAACTACTACAGACCAAACTAGTTAAATAATTCAAAATGGTTAACACATAAAGAGCATGTAACCTAAGGAGTAAGGCCAACCGGGGCCAAAGTCAGCTGGTCTCCAGTCAAAAGCTAAGCAGAAATTATGCTAGGTTCAATGGTGCACGCTCCACCGCTGATTTGCTTATCATAGTTTTCAGTTTACAAGCACAGAAACGGAGGATTATGGTCCATGGAAGGGGATCAGCATTACACTGGAGAGAAAGTGACATTTCACCATGATTCAACAACACAAGGAGGTTAAGTATTTGGAGAAAAAACAAATCTGAAGTGGCATCTTAAAATGACACAAACTAGAGACACTTTTAGAGGGGAAATTCCAAGACAGCCCAATTTAGACTTTATACAAATGCCAAAAGACAAACAACTATTTGGGCTATTATCCCATAGAGCTATCGTTCATCTTCTCAGTGGTGTAGCTGTTTTCAGTGACAATATACAATTTCAACAGGAGTGTGACCATAACTTGTCTAACGAAATAGTGGGGCAGAAATAGATTTGGCATATTTATATACAAAATAGCTCATACAAATGTCGCATTGGTTTCTGGCAGAGGCTAGCTCTACAGCCCAAATCTAAAGAACAAATACATGTTGGTGCAGTATGATTATCACTTTGTGTGAAAGTAGGGCTAATCTTTCATTTCATCAATGGAATGATTAACCATTTACGCAATGAAATGCCAGGGGAAAAAAACAATCATAATTTCCCAGATCCCAAGGAGACGTCTCCAAATTAGTTTTGTCTGAGCAACAGTCCAAACCCAAAACATATTGAGAGTACAATGATATAAAAGAGGAAAGGAGAAAATGATCATATTTGAATTAGCAACAGTTTGGCATTTCTTCTTGTTTAATTATCTAAATTATTCATCGATTATCAGAGTTGGTGGCAATTCACTTTCTGTAGATTGAGAAAACAATTATCTAATAATCTAATAATGTGAAGGTCTAGGTATTATCATGAGTATAGTCCTGAGTTATTCTTTGGCTTTTTTGTGTGGTGTTTGCATGTTCTCTTGTCTGCAAGGGTTTTAGAAATGCAGGTTTGGTGCATGGGAAACTCAAAATAGGTAGGTGTGAGTGTGTGGGACTGTGTTTGCCTCTGTACTGTAGTCCTGTAATAGACTGACAGCCTATCCATGGCGTAGCCCAACCTCTTGCCCAATGTGTAGTGACATAGGCTCCAGGATCTTGTGACCCTGACATAGAGGATATTACCAAGACATCTGAAACTCTGAAAAGATGTCTTATGAGTCCCACAGCAGGGCCACTGCCTGTCTGTCCTTTTTTGTGGTTGGCAAAAGGCTTCACTATTTGGTGAGTTTTGTGACACTGGTGCGTTTGTAGGCCGTTGACATCTATCATAAAGCCGCCATTCAGACAGACAAAAAGGCTATTGATGCCTCTTCACTGAAATAATATTAACACAACAGAATACAATGGAAGTTGCTGACTGAAAGGAGTTATGAGAGAACTATAGCAGGGCGTTAAATTTGGTCTCAGAGTAAGACAATGTTTTCAGTAGAGTACTGTTAACCAAACTATACTTAACTTATTATTTGCAGTGCTGCTGCAATGCTTTCATCCTGGAAAGAAATATACACCTCATTGCCTTTTAATGCCCCAAAGTCAGATTTGTTGTGATTTACAGTAGGAAAATGACAAGACAAGACAATTCTGAGCGTACTAAAAAAGGTTTGCCTAAAGCTGTCGAGTGAGGCCCACTCCCAGGCATAAAAACAAAACTAACGGCTCACATGCTCTGCCTCACACGTGGCTCACATTCTGTTAGCATCAGTCTGGGCAGACAGATCATTGTCAAGTTCAAGAGCACATTCAAATGCCTGTTAGCTTTCTACAAATAAAAGTCCATTTCGCACCCATTTAGTCCAACAGTGCAGCTGGATTTAGCTTCAGACATCAAAGTTCAAAGCAGAAAGTTACACTGATCCAATAAGCATGTACCACCATTTTTAGTAAATGGGCTTCACAGCAAAACTGGTGATTGGTTCACTCATTGGGATCCCCACAATCTTTTTACCATCTGAAAAGTCTGAAAAAGTGAAGAGAAGTCAAACCATTTCACACCAGGGAGAACACAGTGACACACACAGTGACAGACACAGTGACACACACAGTGACACACACAGTGACACACACAGTGAGGGGGGGGGGTGCTCTCATCACACAGTACATCAACAGTGCTGTCACCTTTCCGTTCAGTGTGACACACACACACACACACACACACACACACACACACAAACGGCTGAACATAGCAACAACATAAAGTACGAAATGCTCCAGGGATTGTGTTTGTGGACGTGTGCATGTACAGCCAGGTTATAAAAGGCCTGCGCTGTAGACTGTACTGAGATCAGGAGATCCTGTGCATCCATAACTGTATAACTGCAAACACACTCACAAAGTCATCCACAAAAACGTTGTCTGTCTCCTTCAACTTCCTTCACAAACACCAATTAATTACAGTGCATATTTAAAATGTGGGGAAATGGCTATGCGATCTTGCCATTAGCAACATGCACATCTGCTACATTACAATGAAAATAAAAACACAATGAGGGTGGCACATGACAGCGAAACAATGACCAGCAGACATCTGGCAGTAAACTAAATCCTGCTGGAGATCTCAGACGGTCACTGTAACCTCCCCCACTACATATACTGGATGAACCAGTGAGGCGCCCAGTACCGGACCGCGCATGGCATGACATACAGACCAGTAACTGGCCTACTTCTGGTTGCTGGATCATATGTGGGCTGTGTGGGGTAAAATCCTGCTTTCTCCAATGACTATGTCTCCTTTCAGAATGCAATACACAATGTCTTCTGGATCACAAGCATATTTGCTGTTTTTGACACATATCTCGTCTTACCTGTTATGTCTACATTCATTAAAATGCGGAACTGGATGTTTCACGACTTAAGCAGATTGGGAATTGGCTTCATACGCAGACAAACAGTAAACAGATACTATTTGCTGGAGTGGATAACCAAACAATTAAAGACAGAGAGGCGGATCGCATCATATAGGTACATTTCTCGCCATCCTGGCCAGGGTTTACTGGCCACTTAACTGCTGGAAAGCCCGTGAAGAGTGATGCAAAATCAGGAATTCCCCTCGAGAAGCGCCCATTCACTGTCCTTCCCACATAGGGTTTCTTGGGCAAGCTGTCTACTCTTAGAGTAAAAGGTATCTGTTCCCATAATAAGAACCAGCATACAATCGTACAGCATACAACCATGTATAAATCGCAGCTGTATACACGCGTAAGAAGCCATTACAATAAGTAACGTTACTGCTTCCTTTATTGATTTGTAGTGGATTAATGCAAGTTGTAAAAACACAAAAGGAGCAGATAGAGAGATCCAGGCGACATGTCTTCAGTGGGCACCCACGTACGAGCGTTTCCAGCGCTATTGATGAATTGTAAAGTGAACTAATAGTAAACAGTACAGTAGAGACGCTAACTGTTCACATTCCGTGGTTGCAAGCCGTCGTCGCAACTTACCTTTTGGGGTTTTGACTTCCCTTCTTCTGCTGCGCTGTACCTACAAGTAAAAACAAAATCCACTATTATCATTCTCTCCTTCGCTGCGCAGGGAGCAGTCACCCAAACGCTGTCACTGTGCTGAAGGCGTGTCCCGACTATCGACTAGCTTCGCTGATATAGATGCTGGTCAAACCGTCTCGCCCCCTCCTCCAGACCAGGTTCACATGCCGCGAGCTGGCTGCAGCTGTCTGGCAGGCGGCACACCAGTGATATTACGACGCACGCGCACAAGCAGCGGCGGGAGGCGTTTTCCTCACTGAGCGAAAGTTTGAGCGTGGATTCAGTGTTTGACTGACTTGAAGTACGGTGAGTTATATTTACATTGTGTTGTTTTACGTTTTTCTTTACAAATACAGTACTTGAGGGTTCGACTTCTTATTTTGCATGAATGTTTTAAACTGCCTTTTTTCTAGCTGAAAACAGAAATTCCTCCAACTAACGTAACGTTAACCTCAAGGCTAACTTGTTGTAGCTTGATACGTTCACGTTATTTAGATGTTTAGTGACCTATGATATAAATAGTTACATGCAAATTCATCGGATGAATCAACTCTTTGACATTTTCTTGTCATATTGCGCCCTCTGTTGGATAAACACTAGAGATACCGGTGTTGCTGGGATGCGGCTGCATGCTGTAATTGTTTTTATACAGTCTATGTGTTTGACCAGTGAAGTCACAAGGATTGCTTATGACCTTCATCACAGGTTATGGCGTTAATGTGGACCAAAGACTAATTTTTCATCTTCAAATTGTTCATTTGAGTCAGGACCCCCAAATATGAACATATCCAGTATTTGGGGGCATCTTCTTTTTTTTGTCGTTTTTGTCGTTTTTTTAAACCTGTCCTGCCCAGCAGCCTGGTATAGAGTACGATGAGCTGGATACCATATTGTGCCAGACAGATTTTACTTTAACAAGAGAGTATTAATATACTCCTTTGTGTGTTTTATTTTTTATTTAAATATGTATTGATTGGTCACCGGGCTGACAGGGAGACAGACATGGGGATGGGGGGCACAGACATTGCACAGACACAGAGAAAGCACAACACCTGTAAGAGAATGGGGATGGGGGGTGGGGACAACGGCAAGCAGCAAGGCACTAAACACCCACCCCCACTGAATGATAAAGTCGATCAAGGGAGACCAAAGAGACTGGAATTTTGTTAATTTGTTGGGGGGGTTTAAGTGGCAGAGACATGTGCTTTATTAATGGTTAAAAAATTATCATAGGAAACTATTTTGTGATATATTAGGTTTAATCTTAAACATACAAAATCCTTCAAATGACAGTGCACTGTTTCACCCCACAGTGGTCCTGTGTGTCGCATTAGGTGTAGAGGTCTCTACTCTAAGTTGTTTTAAGGTGTAACACAGAAGAAGAACAACCAAAATAATATGTTTTATTGACTTATTTTTAAGTGCAAATGCTGTAAATAACAAACAGCAGAAGACAGTTAAATTCAATCTTAAATCTAGATCTGTCTGCTGAACACTGCCTGTGAGGATTGCTCCAAGGTTTGCAACAGCGCCCTCCAGTGTCTGAATGTACACATGCCCTGAGCAGATTTGACTTCTCTAACCATAACCCTGGTCCTGTTTTATACATATATGGCCTTGTCATGGGATGCGCAGGTGTAGAAAACAAAAAAATAATGATGGCTGAATTCTATGATGTCCACTACAGAATTGTTTTTTATGCAGTGCCGTCTGAGGGCCCGAAGGTCATGGCCATCCAATATTGGTTTTCGGCCTTGTCCCTTGCGTACAGAGATATTTTTTTGATTCTCAGAATCTTTTAATGATAATATGTACTGTTGACAATGAAATACTTAGTCTTTGCAATTTTATATTGAGAAACATTATTCTTAAATTGTTGAACTCTTTCACAGAGTGGTGAAACCCTCCCCATCTTTACCTCAGAAAAGACTCCGCCTCTCTGGGATGCTCTATTTATACCCAAATCATGTAACTTGTTGCCAGTTAACCTAATTAATTGTGAGATGTTCCACCAGGTGTTTTAGTATTTCACAACTTTTCCAGTCCTTTGTTGCCATTGTCCCAACTTCTTTAAAACCTTTTGCTGGCATCAAATTCTATATGGGTATATCATTTTCCGAAAAACAATCAAATTTCTCAGTTTCAACATTTGATAAGTTGTCTTGTGGTGTTTGAATGTTTAGCGCATCATCGGATTTTGTTTCTATTTACATTTTACACAGTGTGCCAACTTTTTTGGAAATGGGGTTGTAGAATGGAGCCATTATTATTAGTAACACCTGTGATTTTCATACTATGACAAGTCTAAACATCTGCTATGAGAAAAGCCTATTTCAAGAATTTCTTCCTAGATATTTTTCACAGCAGACAGTTTGACTTGTCATGGATGAAACCCGTAGCTAATAACATTAACAATGGCTACATTCCATTTGGATCTTCATTGCCCTTTCACTAAGTCTTCAGGAACAATTCTAATGCAATGCTCATTAATCTTATTAATTAAACCTATGCTTTCCCTGCTGTGACACATCAAAATGTCTGCTGTAAAAAAAGGTCTATGGATAGATAATATTGGGAACCAGTAGCTGACACTGACAATGCACAGCCACACAGATTTTTCCAGTAAATTGTGGTTGATAGACCTCTTTTTAGAGGATGAAATTGAGTAGAGCAGTGCTGGAATTTTGTTGAGGTCACCAAACTCATTACACTTCATAAGAGTGTAGGCTGTTTCATCCTCAAAGGCGCAACAATACAAAAGCCTCATAAAGAGGTCTGTGAAGCACGGCATGGGACACTCGGGTGGCTACATTTCTTGCAGACCACTGCAAGATCCACATTCCAGGTCCCATTAGCAGCATTAGCTTGGTTGTGCATTGCTATCATTTTGGCTGCACTGGCACTAGTGACTACATACAAACTCAAATGAAGGTCTTTACTGGCAGGAGAAAAAATGCCTAAATGTATCCCCCTGCATTGTTATATTGTTTAATTAAAGTTACATTTCTAAAATATTAAGTGGAGCTAAAGAAGAAGAGCTAAATTGTTCTCAGCTACATTTGAATTAATTTAATAAAATTTTGGAACATTGCCCGGCATAGAGAACGCATATTGGTGAGGTGGTGTTAGTATCATGATATGAGGGGGTGGACACAATATTAAATATGAACAACATAAAGCATTACACAATACAGTTACCCTGCAAGAATACTGGCTTTGCTAAATGTTGTTTTTGTTCATGCTGTGCTATAGAGGTGTGCATTGTAATGTATCAAATATTTTGTGTTCTCCATGGTCTGTATTTAGGGGATGCAAAATGTTTGTCAACAAAACTTAACTTATAGGCAGAGTGGGCTATTTGTTCAAGGCTATTGTACAGGTGTTGCTTTCATGATGTCTACCTTCTGTAATGCAGGAACTGTACAACCAAGGATGATTTGATTTTCTGCAAAGCTGTTATATTGGACTGTAAGGTTGACCGACAATACAGATTCTGTGAATGAGTGCAAATTTGAAAATCACCGGTGATTTTGCCATGCAGTTTATACCATTGTAGCACTTCATGTAATATCTCTGACTATATTTACCGTACATCAGACTGTGAGTACTTGGCTGAACAATTAATCGAAATATTATAAAATTGCAATAAGGCCAAGTATAATATCCACAGGAGCTACATTTATTTCATAAAGGTAAAATGTGTCACATCATATCATTTATAAATGAATTATTCTGGTGCTACAAAGATGCCAAAGTGGGAAGTTTAGACCTTGGAGCAAGCACACTCATCATTGGGGTTTTGGCAAGAGCCACATTTCTTTGACATCTAGCATTACATTCTGTAGCATAGTGGTTCTCAAGCTTTTTCATGTCAAGGACCCCTAACTGACACTGACTCCTCTGGCACAATGCTATGTTGTCATTTCTCTGGGTTTCAGCGTTACATTAGGCCTACAGTCAATGAAAAAAGAATGAACGTAAATTATTGAATCTATTGAATTTATTGAAATTGAGAATCATTAAGAACCGGAATCGACTAGCAGACTCTTTAAAACCTTACCCAAAGAGTTGGGTATCGTTTTGAAACAATATCATTGACATTTATAGGACCCTGAAGCTCATATAGACGTCAATGCAATTTGACATGTGTTTGTATTACAGTTTTGACAAGTGTGCATTAATTTCACATTAATCAAACCTTTGTTTTATAGAAATCGGTCAGCCATCATGCCCTTTGAAAAAAGTGTTCCCCTGTCCAAGTGTTGTTAAATAACCAACCTGTTAATAGCCAACTGTTTGAACCAGGCTCAGCTGAGATTTAGTAAGAGACGGCTGTCTGATGCTGCTTTACTGTCTGACTGTACTCCAGCTGATAGTAACTGTTAACACTGGTATCATTTACATATTTACCACACTAACAATCAGATCTGAGTTTGTATGTTTATGTGTGTTACAACCAGCTACAAAGTTTTACACAGGTTTTCAGCATTTTCCAGTTTTCTTGTTATTTGATGGGCAATGGGCAAGACTCCTTTATATGTTTTTTCATCAGTTTCATTGAGTACCTTGTTGTTTCTGGAATTTCGTTAATGAATTACCTAAAAACACATCCCATTTGGTTATTATATCAATAGACAGTTTCTACATTTATTTTACACATACCGGTACTTTATTATTTATGGTATATAGGCCTATCATATTGTGTGTGTGTGTGGGGGGGGGGGGGGGGGTACGGTATACCATGATATAGGATTGTATCCATATTGCCCAGTCCTATTTGTGGTGCAGATGTTGTTAATATTTGCCCATCCAATAGACTGGATAAAGAAGTTGATACAACCCTTTGTACAAGACAAGAGACCTCGTGGGGCGCTGTTTCTACCAGGAGGTGCTCTGTAGGCAGTAAAAGGGGGCAGGCTGCATCCACGGTGTGTACACAAGTCTGTGCTACCATTCATGCAGAGTGTATAGCAGTCCCCACCGACAGCCGTGCCACATCCTCGTCAAAACAGAAAGCTCTGCTCTCTCCGACTGATAGGAAGGGTTGGTGAGTAATTATCCTTTTTCAGTTCGTGTCTCAGCTTAGTCATGATTCTCTCTCTCTCTCTGTCACTGCACATTTGGAAATTGGTGTGTAAATATGACTGCAGGCAGGGGTTTGGGGGAGTAGATAACCTCGACAAGCTAAAAGCCTATGAATGCTGTCGTTATCTTTCCGCAGTTCACGTTTATGCCGGTTTGTTGTATTTCCTCCTGGGCACAGAGCCGTGCGGCGTTCACATGGCGAATGGTAGATTTTCGTACCTTCGCATTGACACGACCGGACGGCTTGTGTGCTTTTTTGGCCTGTAGCAGTCAGAAATTAAGTTTACAGACACATCTTGACTCAAGAAGGTGGGAACTTAACCTCGAGGGAAAGTGTCTCTCTCGACCACAGCCATACTCTTGGTTTTTAACAGCAGGTTCTGAAAATATATGTAAGAGGCCTCTACTGAACAACTGCATGACACATTTATCCTGTTATGACTTTACTTTTTTTGATCGATCCAGGTAGGGACCTTGTCAACACTCCTGCGTTGTTCATAACATGAATGTAGGCAAAAGTCCAAGTAAAGGTCATTCATTGACAACCACCTGGAAGCTCTATTATCATACATATACAGCTCTATTATTTAGTAATAATACCTCCATGTATGTGTACCTGACAGTGGCCTACAGTGTGTGTGGAAAAAGATTTTAGAAATTTTAGAAAAGGTAGATATGTGTGTAAATGTCAACTGCCAGTGAAGGTCAGTAAAAGCTGGTTTGGCAAGGTGTCCCTTTTTTTTTTTTATAAGAGCATCGTAAAAGTAGAGATAACACTTTGTTTATTTACGTTGGTTATTTTGATAAATAAATATAATATGGCTGATTGACAATGGGGGTTGCACACTAGTGACCCAATTTCTCACAGACCACGTGGGTACGATAGTTGATATAACCAAAAAAGTGTAACCTACATATGTCGCGCATATTTGTCTGGAGTAACTGTGTGTGATGAAGTGTTTTTGTAATGACAACTAGAAAAAAGCTGCCTTTGGTGGATGATGTGGCGTTTGCGGTCAGAATAACAATGCAGCTACGTTAAGTGTATGGATACTGGAGGTTAGTTGACATGATAAATTAGAGTTAGACAGGGGTTGCATCTGCGTTTAAAATACAGTTGTAAACACAAGTACGAGGATTTGTGTGTATTATGTTGCCGGTTTTACCAGGTATCTAAGCGGCGCAGCGCTGCGACCTTTCCCCTAGTTTCTGCGGCACAGGGTGGATCATGTGATGTTGGAAAGTAGCTGGGGGAGGGGACTGGCTGTTGAAGCACTGCTCTGTGCATACTGCTCTTTCCGAGGGCTGGAAACATAGAAACGACGTGTCTTGCGTCCAGAGTGTTCTGGTTGAATGAAATAAAAATAGTCTCAGCAAAGAAAAAGGCATTGCTTTTCAGAAATGAAGTAGAGCTTTGCTGGAGAAACGTTGCTAAAGTCTTGTGAAAGCCAGTGTGAAGCCCTTGAAACCCTAATATGATCAGCAAAGCATTGCTATGGGATGCCATGAAAACATCAAAGATTTACGATCGTTTTAGGCAGTTACTATCTATGTATTCTCACTTGGCGATTGACAGCAATTGAAATAAACTGGAAACAGAAGGTCCCTCACAACCAACGCCACAACCAGAGTTTCATCCTTCAGGTGGTGGTCTGCAGTTAACAAATGCTGCTGGTCTACTACACCAGCGATGGTCAAATAAAGGCGTAACTAACGTAATTTTGAATGAAGACATATCAGTCTCTATCAGCATGAACAATGCTAGGCATTTTGTAGGTTTATAATCCCTGCCTTATTTATTACCAGGAAAACCAACCCTTTCATAAAGGGTTATCATTTCATATCACATGTCACATCCCAAGAATCTAATGTGAAAAAAATCAAAAAAATCCTTAATAATTCAGATATCTTTAAAATATGCCAAAAATAAATTATATATTTAATAAAAATGGAAAAATAAAAAAGCATTATTAACTCTGTCAAGAAGGTCATGTTTTCAGTGCTGTTTTTTTGTTTGTTTACCAGCAGCAGTAAATTATATAAAAACTTCAAATTTTCACGAAACTTGGGTGAAGAGAATAGCATGGGCCCACGAATAACCAATTCAGTTTTGAAGGGGCTCTGAGGGGGTGGCTAACAAGACATATATAATGTTAGTGGTTGTCCTTGCAGATTTGCATTTCACTGACTGTACTTTTGGCCTTTGCAGAGGTCTGCACTTTCTGACTGCCCTTTTAGTTGAAATACGTAATAGCTCACTTAAGGTTTACAATTTAAAGATAAAATGAGTTTCTAGTTTAGAATAAAATTGTTTGCCTAGCATCAACACCTGCCTAACCAGCTCAGAGATGAGTACAACACAGACCTCCCAGTACATCTTCTTCGGTGTCAACTTCCAAGAACCAGTTTAGTTGATATAGGCTAATAACTAAATACAAAAAACATGCACATGGAATTGATTCACAAAGGACATCCTTTCTATTCATGATATTTCCTATAAAATATTTATCAATATTACTAAGCGTTCAAAATGTTGTCAGTTTGGTGCTTTGGTTACTATTTGTACTTCTTAGGGTATGCTATATTTTTATAAATAAGTTTCAGTGTTGCCTCACATTAGAGCTTTTTAGAAAGGACACAGACAGCACATAGCTCTCTGAGACACGAAGAGAGAAATGTCTGGTATAGTAACTTAAAAACGCCTCTCATCTAACACGTTTCCACATTTTACCGCTTTAAAAGTGTCCACCTCAAAACTTACTGTGCTTCTGAGTAAGCATGCAGTTATCCACCTAACTCAGTGATAACTATGTCAGTGTTCTTTTCAAAAAGAAGAATTTCACACTCAGCCTTTGCCATTTCCCTATAAAGATTAAATTGAATTAAATTAATTATTAAATCTTGGAAATTAGGTAACCTGCAGCGTTGTCGATGAATAAGGACCACTGATGTAAAGGAACTGTGACAGGAGTAATATGAAAGATTGTTCTGATATTTGCAGGGCAACATTTATATACAGCCCCGTCCAGATATCAGGATGTACTGATTGTTGTTGTGATCTCGACCATTCTTGAATTGAGTATCCATGTCAACCTAACTTTGTGATGAATTTACTAGTTGATAATGTCATCCACATTAACATAAAGAGAGACAAGACTGTAGGAACCAGAATTATGTTTGATACAAATGCTCTTGAAACATCAACTTCACTAACTTTAGTGACTTGCACTCTCCTTACCGTCAGTGACCCTACAGTACAGTAGTAGCCACCATGGCAGAAGCTCACCAGGCTGTGGCATTCCAGTTCACCGTCACCCCTGATGGCATCGACCTACAGCTGTGCCACGAGGCTCTGCGTCAGATCTACCTCTCTGGCCTCCACTCCTGGAAAAAAAGGTTCATTCGCTTCAAGGTGAGAGGTTTCAGAAATATAGTCTTTTTTTACGAGCTTTGATTGAGTTTTTGTTACTCTGTTGTTGTCTACTAGTAGTATCTCACAAGAGTTTCAGTTTTGAGTAAATATTCCGTTAATAAACTGCATCATAAGGGCCCAGGTAATGTTTTTGTTTTCATCTATTTAATCTATTGATTGCTGGAGGGTCACTCACTCCCACATAAACAGCCAGCAGTGACTGTAACCTTCCTGTCTGTTGTTTGTGTCCTACCCTTTGGCCTAGATGTCTGTTTACAGTCATACTGAGTCATTCAAACACCTGCCAGCTTTTTCACACATTCCTCTTTTGTTCATATTTGTAATTAACGCTATCTCGAATATGACAGTAGGATACAAAACGCTATGTTATGAAATCAATGAATTTGAATGAACTATAACCTTATAAAGTATTTGCTCTCTGTGACCCTGATTACCTTTGTTACACTCCATTTGGCTCACCTTTCCACAGAATGGGGTAATGACTGGTGTGTATCCCGGCAGCCCTGGTGGGTTTATGGTAGTGGTTGTGTCCTACATGTCCTACAATAAATATAATCAGCTAGATCCCTCTCTGGGGTTGATTGCCAAGCTGGGCCAACACATACCAATCAGGTAAGACCGCTGATATCATGAGTTGCTGTCCTAGCATAACATTGTGTTTCTTTAGGTTTTTTTATGTAAGCAGACAGAGAACGCCCAAATCTTCCATTATTAGCCTTATAAAACAAAATGGAACACTGAAGAATATTCATGTCATGTCGTGGAGATTGGCAGGGTTATTCAAAAGGAGTTTGGCTAGAAAGCATAATAGGTGTGGAAGAAATTCTTAACTATGATGAAAAATCCAACATATGAAAATGCTTCATTTTGACAAATGCATAACGATGATGGTGGAATGCATCTGACTCAGTGTCATCAAGCTTTTATTGTTTTGAAAAACATGTAGGCCTGTTTTTTTCCAGTACTTCCTTCAGTGGCAGCTGTAGGTGTAATTAGACATTGTAAAATGGTCGCCTTCATTTTTGCTAGTCTTATTCCGACATCACCACCAACTGTCCACCACATGTCTTCTTCATGTTTGCTGACAAAGTTGATCATGTTTAGTGCAAACACTTTCTGATCATACTAAGCTTTTAATGCCTCTCTGGGGATTTTCCCTCAAGTCAAGGACGTTGTTGATAAAAGTGTCATTAAGGTTATCGGGTAAAAAAAAGAAAAGAAATTGAACTGGGAGAATTGCCAACCCTGCTTTTGATTTCAAAGATCTAAATCAAAAGGTCATTTCGATTGATTTTCAATTTAAAATCAAAAGCGTTACACTCCGAGTTTGAATACAAATTTATTACATCGTATTTAATTTTCCTATTATATATAAATTTCCATACTTGATGTGTCCACTCTACAGTTGAATAGGAAAGTCTTAATTTGCTGGTGTTATATGTTGACCCCCTCTTTGTCCTGATGTGGCCCCTTATCTCCCCTTCTCTCTCCGTCTTTGTCCACAGTCGATATATGTCCACGGACAGCCAGAGGATAGTTGGAGGAGTTCTGGTGGGCACGGGCCTATGGGTCACCATAATCATGATTATGAGAAATGTCCTAAAGTGCCTGTTGTCGTGGCACGGCTGGATGTATGCACGCCATGGCTCGGTGTCCTGGTCTACACGTCTGTGGCTGGTGAGGCAATAAATGTGCTTCTCTGTTCAATGTATTTAAGAGCAAATTCATGCAGGAATGTCTAGCATGATTCTTTTCACAGGAATGAAGAATGCAGTTTTAATTCATTTAAGTCTACTATGCATTTGTTTCCTTGTAATGTAGGCCTTAAAAATACACAGAATAAAGAAAAGATGGTTCATACTAAGGCTTAATATTATTATTCAATGTTCAATGTTATTCAATTATTATTATTAACAATTCCAGGTGAAAAGTAACTACACTGAGTCAAAGATACAATTTCCTTTTTTACTTTGAAGTGTGTGCCATACTACTAGTACTACTAAGTACTGTTTAGATTATTTTAGGTTAACCCACTGAGGCAAAGTGCGAACTTACGTGTTCGCACTTTGCCTCATACCACGCTGGTTTCTAGGTGTAACTTTGAACTCCCTTCCCTCTCCACTCTCCCCTCCCCACTGTCCCTTATCTGTTCTGCTTTTCCAGTTACTAGTGAAGGTGTTTTCTGGCCGGAAGCCAATGCTCTACAGTTTCCAGAACTCCCTGCCACGGCTACCTGTCCCCACTATCAAGGACACCTGCAGAAGGGTACTTGTTATTTTAGTATGTAATTTCAAGGTACAAGGTGGTTTATTAGTCATTCTACAGCACAAGGCTGCATAACGAAACAAAATGTGTAGTTCCTTCATGCTACGCACACAATATATAATTACACGCAACATATAATTAAGTGTAGGCCTACATACATACATAAAGTATGGTAAATTAAACAATGCACTTTATTTATATACATATATACATACACGTAGACACCCCAAACATTCAGTGCCTTTTTTTAATTGAATTTGCATCTGGGGTGAATGTAAAAAGCAGCAACCATCTTCACAATAAACAGTCTGACATTTGCAAGCATCATCAATGTAAAACACAAAGATCACCTCCTCTCATCTTGCCGGAGTCTTGCACTGACAGTTTGGAACATGGACCACCTGCTGAGTGCTTGATGTAGGTTGCTGATGGGGCAGATCTCTGTAACGATGTGGGCACTAACGTCTCTGAATTCCGTTATCTGGTCAATATGTTGACATTTTGTCCAGACCAGGTCGTTAAGAGCAGAATTAAGTCCAAGCTGGGACAGCATTGCTCCTCTCCTGGCTCTCTATCTTCTCCTCTGAGCGATCACTGTAAGTTTTGGAAAGAAAGCCGGAAAAATAATAAAAAACAAAAGTATAGCGAAGATTGATGGAGCTACCGGCTGCTGCTTCTACAAGCGCTGCCAGTTGCCATAGCAACATGGTTGCTGACTGAACCAGTGCTATGTGCATTTCTGATCATAATGTCCCAAGTCACTGGACTGGAACCAAAAGTCATTTAATACGATTGACTTGCATGTGCATCCTTATCTTTGTCTGTCAAGCTTCATACCTGAGTGCTCCATTTGTACAGTAAGCAAGAACTTGTTAAGCAATGCAATACCACTTAACTTCACAATGACATTTGTCACATCTATGTAGATTTCAGTAAAACTCCGCTAAACAAATTCCAGCGTGCCTGTCATTATCGGTCAGGCTAGTTTTTGTGGCCTATCTGCTCTCTCCTTATTGAAAAGTAATTGACCCTTGCCTCACTCTTTGTGACTATGCATTTCTCTGTGTTGACAGTATCTGGACTCTGTGCGTCCACTGATGGATGATGAGCAGTATGAACGGATGGAGGCTTTGACCAAAGACTTTGAAAAGAACCTGGGCCCCAGACTGCAGTGGTACCTGAAACTCAAGTCCTGGTGGGCCTCCAACTATGTGAGTTAGAGAGAATTCCTCTACCTTTCTCTCTTTTGTCACAGTTTTGGAGACTGTCCCAGGTCTTGAATCTTTTTCAAACTGTCAAGAAAAACAGTGTGTCTAATAATGTCACCTTATGTCTCCGTTTCCCTTTGTGTTGCACAGGTCAGCGATTGGTGGGAGGAGTATATTTACCTCAGAGGCCGTGGGCCCATCATGGTCAACAGCAACTATTATGCCATGGTGAGATATCTCTACCTGAATATCTGTTTGCAGACAGTGTCTCAGCCTTTTGTTTAAAGATTAAGCAGTAGGCTTCTCCATGTAGATTGTGATTAATTCTTGGAAGGAATGTGTTTGGTGTTCATCATTAGTACTGCAGAGTAACCGATGTCACCTCCAGGTACACCAACTGAGATTCTGTTTGATAAAAGTCACCGTAAGGGAGATATAATAACATGAGCTCTTGAACTGCTTTGTGGCACATGACAGCTCTGCCAAACATAATACACACAGTGTTAGACTAAATAGCAAATGATATCTTTACAACAAAGAGGGACAAATTGAGACAGTAGCCTGGACTGTCACTGCAGCAGGGCAGGCATGAGTCACTGCTCCTGGAGAAACAGTTATGTGGATCTGTTTTGTCAGTGTGCAGTTATCAAATAGATAGTATAAACGGGCCAATACCATGCCAGCACCATTGAAATGGCTTCTTCTCTTGCTTACAAAGCCAAAAACACTGCTCTCAAAGGAGGTAGACTTAATACGGGGTCAGTGGAACAACACTCAGCATGTTTGAAATGTAAGTTACTGTATGTGTGCATACAGTCCTTGGCTAAAATAACAAAAAAGAATATATGGTTGGATCACACCATGATTTGTTGGGTGAAATGTGACTGATTTATTGAATTATTACTATTAATCTCCTCTTTTCCAGGATTTCCTGTATGTGTTCCCCACCTCCATCCAGGCTGCCAGGGCAGGTAATGCCATCCATTCCATCATGCTGTACAGGAGAAAACTGGACAGGGCCCAGATAAAACCAGTGAGTATAGAGCACCTCTGTCCCCCTGTGTCTCTCCTGAAATGATTTTGTTAAACTTTGGTTAATCTAGAGACATTGTGAAGGTGTCCTATAAGCTACATTAGTACATGTTTGACATGTTTGACCATATCAGTTCTATGTAAATGTTTAACTTTTTCATTTATTATTTATTGATTCATAGCTGTTATCTCAGCTGTGTCAGTGAGTTTACAATGAAAACTTCTTATCTTTCACAACCTTTTCTTGTGTACACTTAAGTAAGCTTGTCATCCACTATCTTACCAATGATAATGTAGGTAGCGGATATCCTCAGCTCACTGTGTATAACTCTGACTTTGGAATGAGCCATGCGCTGCGCTTTTTGCTTGTTTTGTTTGAAGTAAAAGTGTGATAACTGCAGGGCAAGATCACAAGCATTTTGGGAAGTCTTAGTGAATAAGGCTTAGTGAATGCTAGTGATTTTCCTGACACAGATTAGTGTCAATGTCATCTCTTCTCGCTCCTGTCTGTCCTCTTCCTTTACGAACCTGCATGATCCTTAAGTGATCCAAATTATTTTTACATTTGCACAATCCTGACACACAACTCAACAACATGTTGCATAAACACACATTGATTTCTTGCAAAGACTGATGTATTTATAAAAAAACACTAACGCATGAGTTCGTTCTGTTACACTCTCACATTCGGTGTCTCTGTTTTACTGTTTTGTCCCTTCGCTGTGTCGGACGCTGCGTTAGATATACTTGCTGGAAAACAAGGTTCCTCTGTGTTCGGCTCAGTGGGAGCGGATGTTTAACACCACCCGCACCCCTGGTTTGGAGACAGGTAAGAGGAGGGCACATCTCTGCTGTGCCCTCTGACCCCCTACCCTCTGACCCTAGCTATTGCCGTGGCAACGGCTATTGGAAACCCTGACTCCTAGACTCATTCTCAACAGCACAGCCCTGAAACAATCCTACGTTGGTTTTTGTTAGGCTTATTTTAGGCATCTATTTGGGAGAAATAAATATACAAATTTAAGTAATTTGTTAAGTATAAATATTTAAAGGCATCTAGATTTTCGGGCAGATTCTACTGCAAATATTAATCAGGGCTTTGCTGCTGGCATTGAGATAGCAGACCACTGGTTTCCGGACCCTGCTCATGTCTCCCTCCCTGGCAGCCTTCTGAGGTCTGATCAGCTCCCCAAATCTATCATTGCTCCCTCTCGACTTCATCCATGCTCCTGTCCCTGTAGGTGTGTGTCTGCTGCCGCTTTCTGGGGATTTTAGTGGATTAGTTTGTCATCTCTCTGTGTTTTACTCTCCCCTTCTGTTTCAGCTCATGCTCCTACACACTATTCCCATGTGCTCAGCCCAATACGAGTATATGTTCAACACCAGTCGTGTCCCAGGTGTAGATACAGGTAGAGTCTTTAGCAGTGCCGCCTACTCCACACTACTCTGACTGTTTTTCTCCTTGGGACATTTGTCCATCTGTTTGAATTAGAAATAATCTGACCTACATAAATTAACAATGCATGTGTGCTGGTCTGTAAACATTCAAGGACTAATTTGCATGACTCAAATCTAATGTTTGAGTTTCTCAACAGCAACTCAAACACTTCAGGCATAATTTTAGGTAAGACCAGGAAGAAACAGTGTTATGCTGGCCTGAATACAAAGACATGCATAAAAAGAAGTTCTGGGTATTATTTCACATACAGTTAATTATGTGTTCCGAAGATAATAAAATACTATTATCACTTTAACTCCTAGGTGGTGCTCATGGGCATTTGTTATCTAAAAACAAAGAAAATCCCTTTGAAAGGACAGGAAGCCAAATTTGCTGCAGAAATGTCATGATAAGCTTAAACAACAGCAACTTAAACAAGAACTCTGTTGAAACTTGGGATTAAGTGTTGTTCAGAGCATTAAGAACTAACATACACTATCTCACAAAAGTGAGTACACCCCTCACATTTTTGTAAATAGATTTTCTGGCCTAGTGGCAGTGAGACGGAGCCCTAGCCTCACCGGTGTTGTGCTAAGTTCTCTGCACCTCGTGGGACGTTCGGATCATTTCTCACCATTGATGAACCACGCAAAGAATATTCTATCATTTATGATTATAGAACTTCAAATGGACCCGCAAGGAACTGCGACGTGCATGCAGTTCTCGGCCACACGCCATGCACGCAAAACTCTGCACAAGACCGGAGAATGGCAGGCGAGCAAAGAGAAAATGTTCTACAATAAGCCTCCGTGTAGCTGGAATGTGTGCAAGTTACACTGACTAATAAAGGTTATAGGTTCGACTCAGAACTGGCCTTGCCATGGTCGACCAAAGAAGTTGAGTGCATGTGCTCAGCGTCATATCCAGAGGTTGTCTTTAGGAAATGGACGTATGAGTGCTGCCAGCATTGCTGCAGAGGTTGAAGGGGTGGGGGGTCAGCCTGTCAGTGCTCAGACCATACGCCGCACACCGCATCAAATTGGTCTGCATGGCTGTTGTCCCAGAAGGAAGCCTCTTCTAAAGATGATGCACAAGAAAGCCCGCAAACAGTTTGCTGAAGACAAGCAGACTAAGGACATGGATTACTGGAACCATGTCCTGTGGTCTGATGAGACCAAGATAAACGTATTTGGTTGAGATGGTGTAAAGCTTGTGTGGCGGCAACCAGCTGAGGAGTACATGTCTTGCCTACAGTCAAGCATGGTGGTGGGAGTGCCATGGTCTGGGCCTGCATGAGTGCTGCCGGAACTGGGGAGCTACAGTTCAATGAGGGAACCATGAATGCCAACATGGGCAGTATTCCAACATGACAACGACCCCAAACAGACCTCCAAGACAACAACTGCATTGCTAAAGAAGCTGAGGGTAAAGATGATAAACTGGCCAAGCATGTCTCCAGACCTAAACCCTATTGAGCATCTGTGGGGCATCGTCAAATGGATGGTGGAAGAGCGCAAGGTCTCTAACATCCACCAGCTCTGTGATGTCGTTATGAAGGAGTGAAAGAGGACTCCAGTGGTAACCTGTGAAGCTCTGGTAAACTCCATGCCCAAGAGGTTTAAGGCAGTGCTGGAAAATAATGGTGGCCACACAAAATATTGACACTTTGGGCCCAATTTGGACATTTTCACTTCACTATTACCAGCGGTTTAGACAATCAATGGCTGCGTGATGTGTGTTGTTTCGAGGGGACAGCAAAATGTACAAGCTGTACACTCATTACTTTACATTGTAGCAAAGTGTCATTTCTTCAGTGTTGTCACATGAAAAGATATAATCAAATATTTACTAAAATGTGAGGGGTGTACTCACTTTTGTGAGATACTGTATGTGACATGAACGGTCGGTGTAGAAATGACCTCTAATGCAGGATATAACTGGGGCTGTGACAGACTGACTTTACATCCCTCTCTGTCTGTAGAAGACAGAAGTGAATTATGACAAATAAGATTCATTAACATGTATAAGAAAAGCAGTAAATGTTGTTTTTTTTTTTGTTTTTTTTTAATTAGTAAAATGTTATGAGTTTAAAGTTTGTATAATGTTTTTTTGTAAACAGAAAAATGGAAGTTAATGATTCTAGTAATGCATAAATGGATCAAGTTTTTTATTTTATTTTGTAAAATGTTAAATAGAAATGATAAAAGTGGCCTGTCAGTGGTCAGTCCGCATAGTCATAGACACATTGCTGGAGATGTAAGTAAAACACAGGAGGCGAAGAGACTGAGGTTGTCCTTGGGGTTGTTTCTATTGTCCTCTCCTTTGTCTTGACCATAACAATGGCAGTGCTTGTTTGAACATTGTGCGCATTATCAAATCAGTATCAAAACATTGTATAAAAGATGCAAATTATGTTTTTGAATTGGTTTCTCTTGGTCTTGCACAGTGCTGTTCAAACAAACATCGCCTCAGTTCATTGTATTCCACAGCACTGACTTGTTCTCAAATTACTTTTCCCTTTTCATTCCACTTCCTTTACTTCCCATTTCAAGCTGCTTTAGTTTTTGAACTGGGCAGTCCCTCACATCATATAGTATCACTTTGAATTCCGTTGTTTTAAGAATAAGAAGGATCTTCTCAAAGATAAAAGAACCAGCCCTGGATGTTGTGGATATCACACATTACTTAACACTGGGACCAAGAACATGTTTGTTTCCAGAAATTAAATGTTGTGACATCCACACTCTACCTGTTACCTTCTTTTTCACATAAGATTCTGATTGTTTCACTATTTAAATTTAAAGCTGCGCAGAGATCCAGACACACATCTTCTGTCCTTGCCACCACTCCCAACACTCCTCCAATTGTCTTCTTTGTCTTTTTCCCTCCCCTTAATGTTGGTCCATCTCTCCCAGACACCCTTCAGCACGTGAACGAGAGCAAACACATAGCTGTGTACCATAAGGGCCGTTTCTTTAAGGTGTGGATGTTTTATGACGGGCGGCTGCTGTTGCCGCGGGAGATCGAGCAGCAGATGGAGAGGATCTTGGCCGACAAGTCAGAGCCCTTGCCAGAAGAGGAGAAACTAGCCGCACTTACTGCAGGGGACAGGTGGGTGGCATTATAGAGCAAGCTGCAGCCAGTATTGTTGAGGCTGCACAATTTACATCATGTAGCAAGACAGGAAGTACAGAAAAACTGTACATAGATATTGATTTATTTCAATGATATGTACCAAGGTTGATTCAGTGAAGTAATTTGCATTCTGCAAAACATATAGTTATATAGTGTTAGTATACTCAGTACATATGGTGATAGATAAAGGTTAATATGGCAGAGTTAGAACTGCCTAATGCCTTGATGCAATTTTGAAGCAGATATCAATACTTCAGAATTAAAAAAAATGGAAAACAAGATATGATCAGATATTCAGTTTTTAAAATAAAGATGTTATTAACATTTCTCACAAGGTTCATTAAAATTTGATACTAAAGAATTGTACCCAAGTGATGTACTGAGCAGTATATTTTGCAGTTGAAAAAAAATTAATTCGAACATTCTGTAGGACTCCATGGGCCAATGCTCGTGAAACCTACTTCAGCCGTGGTAAGAACAAGCAGTCTCTGGATGCCATTGAGAAGGCAGCCTTCTTTGTAACCCTTGATGACACAGAGCAGTACTATGATGCAGACAACCCAGTCAAGTCTCTGGACAGTTATGCCAAGTCCCTGCTCCACGGAAATTGCTACGACAGGTCGGACAGATAAACTTGATGTATCTTCTTTCTGATTATCAAAGAGTCTGCAGTGCAGACTCATTTATAAATAAACTGAAGGTGTTTATTCCTTATTTTCATTCAGGTGGTTTGATAAATCCTTTAACCTGATAGTGTTCAAGAATGGCACCATGGGACTGAACGCAGAGCATTCCTGGGCTGATGCTCCAATTGTTGGCCATCTGTGGGAGGTACATCAATTTAGTTTCTATCAATGTAGTTTTTTATCCACTGAATTTCTCATTTTTGCTTAGATCCAGATTGTATTTATGTCACATGGAATACATGAAGAAACCAATTCTACAATGGAATGGAAAAGAATGTTTGTATCTTCTGATTGTCCATCAAAGTACTTTTAGACAGAAATGTGAAATCAATCAATCATGTTATGTTGAAACCTGACTACGTTGCAGCATGTACTTTCCATGGACCCTGTCAAACTGGGATACACTGAGGATGGTCACTGCTGTGGGGAGCCCCACCCCAACCTACCAGGTCCTCAGAGACTGCAGTGGGACATCCCTGCTGAGGTAAGGGCCGGGCTATTCACAAAAAGAACTTGTCCTACCATGTTGGAAAGCAAAAGTGTTTATAGCTGTTAAAAAAAGAGCCTCTCTGTAGGCTTGGAGCAAAGCAGGCTAGCATAATTTCGGGGGATGTGATAACTGTTTATTAAATGTTAAAAGTAGCTCAGACAGTCTCTCCTGGAAGACTCGTGAATGTGGAATTGTTGGTTTCAGAAAATAACAAAATGGAACAATTCCAGTGCTGCAAAGGTGTGGGGTTAGGGTGTTTTGTGAAGCTGTTTGACCATCTGACAAACCTTTCAGATGGAGTACACTGGCAGCTTGAGACTGCTAGAATGTCTCTTGCACTGTGGGCTGATAGTGAGAATTGATATTCATAGGCCTTGTCTTCCCTCTGCTGGTAGTTTGAACTATGTGCACCTATGTGAGTTAGTATTTTGCTAATTAAATACAAAGATGCAGAGAAAGGACTGTTGGGTATTGTATATTTGAAATTTAAAGTATTATTTAAATTTAAAGTGTGACCGTACAATAATTGGTGTTAGTCTCAGAAGTACAATTACATTTTATTAATTTCAGCTTTTAAATACAAAATACTGCAATGTGTTGTCAGCCATGCCATGCTGCATCTGCTCAGTCTAAGGTACAACTCTGTCACTTCCTGTAGTGCCAGGAGATTGTCCAGAGCTCTCTGAAAGTAGCCAGGGCTCTGGCTGATGATGTGGACTCCCACATTTTCCCCTTTATTGACTTTGGCAAGGGTCTGATTAAGAAGTGCCGCACCAGTCCTGATGCCTTCATCCAGATCGCCCTACAGCTTGCTCATTACAGGGTAAGTACAAATATCTCACTGCTTTCTCAGCAAAATTTCATGACTTAATAACACTTTAATACATTTATTTGTTTGTCATTTAGTGGCATTTGCATGTTATGCTTATTATTATAACAGCTGATGCAGTCCAGTCACATTCCCCCTTAAATTCCAGCAGAGGGCAGTCACTACTTGCCAGATGACATACTGTACAGTGGCTGCCCACTGCTCCCTTCAGGGATGGGTTAAATGCAGAGGATGAATTTCGCTACATGTATGTGTATGTGACAAATAAAGGACCTCAACAGTATCATTGAAGACCATCAAACATTGTCAATGATCTATTTAATCATATTAAGTTTAATCAGATTAAGTTTAAGGCTGTATTTTCCTGTTAGTTGTGCATTTCATTTGAAAATATAAGCACAAGCACATATAAAGGACACGATAATACGGTTTACACTTTCCGCTAATTGGTAATTACCTTCAGATAATTAATTTATGTAGCTGCCTTGGTTATGACAGTTTAAGTATGGTATTGCAGTTTCGACATGGTACTTCCTGGTGTGTCTGTTATTTAGTCAATCCCTAGTATGTCTAAATGTCAGCCCCCTGAAAGTCATGGGTGTTTTTGGTAATTATCAACATAAAACTCAAATCGACTGCTAACTTATTAACAATTTGTAAAACAACTTACTGTGCTTTCTCTTTTATTAACCATTTCCCAAACTGTTTCTCAACAGGACAAAGGGAAGTTCTGCCTGACATATGAGGCCTCCATGACGCGTTTATTCCGTGAGGGCCGAACAGAAACTGTGCGCTCCTGCACCATGGAGACTTGTGCCTTTGTTCGTGCCATGATCAGAGACGAGACTGTAAGGATAAAAAGCAGCAATACATCACACCTCTGGTTACAGCGCTACTCTTAGTCACCCCAATTGTTTGTCATCTTTCACTTTTATCGCCTTCCTTACCATTCAGAGAGAAGAGCGCCTTAAGTTGCTCAAAGTGGCAGCAGAGAAGCACCAGGACCTGTACCGTCTGGCAATGACAGGAAAGGGCATTGATCGCCATCTTTTCTGTCTCTATGTGGTTTCCAAATACCTGGGAGAAGACTCACCCTTCCTTAAGGAGGTACGAGGTGTTTTTGCAAGTTCTGCTCTTAAAGCTGCCATCACCCCAGCGTGATATTGTCCACAAATCTATTATTATTGATCTACAACAATACAAAGAAACAGACTATGTGCAGCTGCTCACTTCTTCATACAATGACGAATATTTGAGAGTGGTCACCTGTTAAACCTTTGAAATAAAATGACGGTTTCCAAGATTTGGGTCTCAGTCCTGTTCTAGGCTGAAGGGGACTTTTTAGAGTTTCATTGAATTCGTTTGGACTAGCTGAAAATGAATCTTAGTCCTGAATTTATTGTTGGGAGGAACTCCTGAATGAGTGGTATGTGGTTGAAATGAATCTTGTCTGGAGAAAGCTGAACAGTTATGTGTGACAAGACTTCCTCTTTCATGTGCTGGTCATTGTTTACAGTCTGATTAGCAATCATGGAACCCATAGGCTACTGCCTAACACTATTAGAATGCAGATACATTTTTAAAAGCTAATAATAAGCTAATCTCTATAGGGTTCCGAGATTGACAAAAAGCTAAATTGTCGTTAGACGACAGCAGATGACATTTCAACCAATGCGTTCTATCTCTTTCTTTCCATACGGAATGTTACCTACATGAAACCAAAGCACGCGCAAACATGATTTAGTTAATAAAGAATACTTCCTTCGCCTACAGATTCTGAATTTATGTGCAGATATCTGTTATATAGATTAGGAAACAGGGGCCATATTACAGAAACTTCCTAACCAGCAGATCCTATCCTAACTGCTTGGTAACCATGGTAATAAGTGTTAGAAATTGATTTAGGAAAAAGGCCATTACAGATTAACAGTTCCTAAGTCAATATTCCTTTCCTAGCTAAAGATAGGAAAAGTGTATTACAGAAGCATCCTAACTTTTGTAAAATCTTAAATAAACTCTCCTAACTCTTAACTGTTGAGCTGTCCTAACTTTTGCTTTTCCACCAGTTAGTGTTTGCTAACTTGTTTAATCCACATGGTCGTTCTTTTATTGCTTTTACAAAATCAACAAAATGTCAACAGGCGGAACTTATTAATTAATTCTACCGATGTGTTTGACTAGACCGTCTTTAGTAGAAAGGCTGTTGGTGATGTAACGCTAGATCTATAATGTCTCATTAACATAATGTAAAGGCTTGATGTAACTAAAGGATCCTAATGCAAGTCTTTGATAGGAGATTGTTAAGTTCAAGAAATACATGAAAAACATGATGACGTTTGCCTGCAGCCTTTATTAATATTTTTTACCTTCATTATTAACTTTCCCGAGAAGAGTAGCCTACGGGTTTCTGCCGGGGTCAGTGAGTGAGCACAGGAGGAACCACTACCAGGTTTCCTCTGCTCTTTGGACGCAACAGTTGCCTTTCTCTTCGTATCACTGTAAATGGACTGATTTTCTTTTTAACAGAATCAATGCTCTGCTGGATGCTGGATATGCAGTGGTGACTGTGTCCGCTATTTTAGCCCACTCTCTATCTTTAATCTCTCCAGATAAGCGTTACGTGAATTTGGATTTCTCGACAGAGGTTACCAACACCTCTAAGTCATCTGACTTGAAGTTCAATAATAGATGTTGTTTCTGCTCCATTTTCAGTTTATGTTTCATTAAACAACCCACAACAGCGATTAAAAGCTGTTTAGCTTGGCGAGATGAGAAAAGTGGCCTCGGTTACTAGGTAACAGACATAAAAGTTGATAACCGATGTTGGATTGAGTATTTGGGATTTCCTAACCTGAGATAAGATCGGATGAAGTAAGATAAGATAGGATTCCTAAAGTTAGTTAGGATTTGCTTCTGTAATATCAAATTGTGAAAAATCCTATCCTTAGACTCTTCCTATCTGAACTTGACTTAAGATAGGAACTTTCTGTAATACGGCCCCTGGCTCATAAAGCTTACAGGTGCATATAATCATTTTATAGTAGGTGTCTACTTACTTTTCTGTGGTAAGAGTAAGTATATTGTTCTCTGTATACTTCGAGAGAGAGAGAGCGCATTAGAATGAAAAAGCAAATTTCTTCACCTTCCACTTAAATGTGACATGGAATATTTAAATCCAGCTAATCACTGTTCTATAACATGTACAAATGACATGCTACTAAAGCTCAACATAAGCTCCCCTTCTCTCAATATTTTTTACTGGGCTGAGGACACAGCATGATTGCTTTGACAAATGAATTAAATATAGTTTTTACCTTTTTTATATTTAGGTCCTCTCTGAACCATGGAGGCTCTCCACCAGTCAGACCCCTCTGCAGCAGGTTGAGCTATTTGATCTGGTCAGACACCCGGAGTATGTGTCCTCTGGAGGTGGATTTGGTCCAGTAAGTTATCCTCCAGTTTTGACAGTAAAGACAGTGGAGACGATTGTGCAGTGTTCCTGCACAAAAGTCTGCAATTAGTGTCCAGTAGTGTTTTTATGTATATCATTAAATAGGGAATAATAAGTCAGAAATTCCCACTTTTCTGAAAAATATAGTTTGAAAACTGACTGTTCGTGAGATTAAACTCATATCTGTTTTGCTTTGTGCTTGTGTCCTTAAGGTGGCTGATGATGGTTATGGTGTCTCCTACATCATTTTGGGTGAGAACCACATCAACTTCCACATCTCCAGCAAACACTCAAGCCCAGAAACCGTAAGTTCACTAGTTTTCCATTTTTACAGACAATTTAGATTCTTCTATGTTCATTGCTTAATGACGAGACTTTTAAAAAAATCTTCTTCCTCTGCTTTATTTCAGGACTCCCACCGTTTTGGTGCCAACATCAGACAGGCCATGCTAGACATGCGGGATCTCTTCCAGCTTGACAAGAAAACCAAGTGATTGTCCTCTCCATGGGTGGAACAAACATAAGAAGTTGTTTTTAGCAAAATATCGTATGCTTCCTGAAGCTTGTACATAATCAAATGTTGAGGTTTGGGTTATTTTTAAATTAATTGATGTTACAGAAATAAGGGTGATTTAAAGGTATTTGGAAACTTAACTGTCAATATGTGTGTAAGGTGTTTTATGTGTACTGTATGTATAGGAAAGGTGAGATTCTGGTGGGATTGGGTACAGGTCGTGGCACAGATCAAAGTTTTTATTCATAGGACTGTAAGCACCAGTGCCTTAGTGACCCACTAATGTAAAAAGGGCAGAAAGGGAGGAGGGAAGTAGAGCAGCTTTAGCCTGAGATCAAGTCTTTATTACCACAGTTTGACATTTCACTTGAAGGATTGTTCAGTAGCATCATCTAATATTTGAATTATGTTTTAGGTTGAGAGGTGGTGCAATATTTTTAATTTTGAAAATCCTATGAATTCTTTGTGGTTTTTAGGTTTCTTCTGGTCTCCTCATTTGCAGCACCTGAGTCATGTATAACTGGCCAAAGCAGCAAACTTGATGTTAAATATAATCATATAATCATCCAGCAAACTGCATGTTGCATGGTGTCCAGGTTCACATGGTTCAGTTTAAATACCGAGTCTGATTCACTAGGCTTGAACAGTTGTACCCGTAATCTTATACCTACAAGAATTATAAATATTCAGCTCTGATCTGGAAGGTGGCCCTGTATCAGTGTGATGCTGGATACTAACACAGGAGACAGGGAACTGATGACACTGTACAATCAATGGATCTCCATTGCCTTTCTGACTCAAGTGCACAGCCAGTGTGTTTTTAGCTGCCATGATTTAGTGATGAAGGCAGATCATGTTGGTGTGTGCGCTTGTTGTTTTCACACTCAGGTTTTACTAACTTGGCGTAGTATTGTAGGGTGCTGGGTGCAGCATTGCAAGATTAGTGCTTATGTTGGCATGTACATGTGCAACAGTAGAAGAAATTGAGATGCAGTAAGTGAGGGATTGACAGGACAGGGTGTGTGTCTGGGGTGAATCTCACTTGCACAATGTGTTGAACTGACAGTGTGTAGCCAACAGTGACGTTTTTCTGTTTCTTGTGTTTAAAAAGTGTATTCAGTGTACTTCACACTCATGTGCACTCTATGACTGGCCCTAGTTCAAACTAACCGATTACTAACTACCATGGTAGCCTTTTTTCAGATCAAATTGAATTGTGTACTGTCACTTTGTCAGTTAAAGCATAGTGGTGTTGTAGCTTAGGATAAAGAGGGGCTGTCATGTAGGAGTGCATTTCATTTCTGTATATGTTGTTGGTTCATCATATTTATTTTTTTCCCATGTTCTAACCTCTTCATTCACAAAACAAACATGCATATTTACCAGCTGAACGCGGCAAATCATTAGCACTAAGTTAAGGCTTTGCTTATTTAAGAAGTGACAAAATGCTTCCTATATTTTTTTTTTTTTTTTTTTGACAGTTTTCTTATCAAAACTGTCAAAAAAACTTTGCCAGTATGTTGTAGTTATATGACTTTTTCAGTAGACCTCATGTTTACACTGCTGCATGTTTTTGAATTTGAAGCAGTATATGTTTTCATTTAAGACTTGGAAGACAAGCAGCTGATATACCAAAATGAGTTTTAACAATAAAGTGAATGTCAGACAGCTGTATCACCTGACTGTCATCTCTCACTTACAATCTGTTCTTTTTATCCTTATCATAACTTCGAGAAGAAAAGTACTGTATTTGCCACCATTAATGCCACAGGTGACACCAAGACTATCAAACTTTTAATTCGATCTGAAACAATAAGTCGATTAATAGATGGACAGAAAACCATTTTTGGATGATTGATTCATTGTTTTTTCATGCAAAAATGTAAATATTTAGCGGGATTCTGATTCTCAAATGTAAAGAATTGCTGATGTTCAGAATATCTTTGGGTTTTAGTTTGTGGGTTGGCTGTAGGAAGTTCTGAAGGGTATTTGAAAACAACTATCAAATTAATTAATAATGAAAACAAGAACTTTTTTAACAGCTAATGTCAACATGCTTGCATGCTCACAATGACAATGCTGATGTTTAGCTGGTATAATAACCATGTTCACCATCTTAGTTTAGCCTTTTAGCATGCGATTGTTAATTACCAAACACTAAGTTCAAATGCAAGTATTTGATTTTTTTACCCTGGTTTTGGCCGAACTGAAATTTTGATCTGATGTTAGAGACAAAATGTTAAGAGATCATCACTTTGGTTATTACGATTTATCCTGAGGGGGACATGAATCTGTGAACCAAATTTCATTGGTAGTTGCTGTCCTAATTTTCCACATTTAGTGGGTGTGTAGCTTGGTGGCATTATGACGCCTGTTCTTTAACCATTAGCTCAGTGAATCTAACCATCTCCTTCCCTGAACACCAATTAGTCTTTAGGTGAGAAATTTGAAATGGCCTCTGTCAAGCACAATGATGAATTAGTCCTTTATAATTTTAGATGCTCAACCCTCATCTTCATCACAGAGTTAGCTTGAGGTCATGGCTATGTTTATCAGTTTTTCTTAATTCTGACAATTTGTAAACCTCCTGAAATCGGTCTGGTGTGAAAATGAGATCTTACCTCCTTTAATTAAAGGGAAGCTGCCATCTGCCAGGTGCTTGGACTCAACAGGGTATTAATTAGTCCCTCCACAGTGTTGCTCAGGGTATATTCAACATTTAAAGGGAAGACGTTTTAAACGCATCAGGAGGTGACCGATTTCCAAGGAGGGCATAGGCAGGAAGTGATCGCGTGACAGTTTCCCTCTAACTCCTGTCCACCACTTGAGCACAGTCTCTCTCACACACACACACACACACACACACACACACACACACACACACACACACACACACACACACACACACACACACACACACACACACACACACACACACACACACACCCTTCACAATAGTTTACCCACCGCAATGTCACCCTGCCCCTCAGCTTTCGATAGCAGGCATTTCAACATTTCAAGACTGCATTCCTGAGGTCTACTTACTCCTCATCCACTGTGGGAACCTGCCGTTTGGCCACTTAAGAAGAAAGATCACTTTTAAAGCCAGACCTTTGTATACCTTTGTCTTTATCAAAACCATCAAGTGTGCACTGGCTTTTTGATTAGGATGTACACAAAGGAGAAAGGCAGCATTCTTTACTATTCAAAACACAAGGCAGGCAAACTACAGCAAATGCATATAGCATAACCAACAGACTTCCACTGGCTGGCTTCTGGACAACAAGCCTTTAAATTGTACACCTAATGGCCAAGCTGGAAAACCCATTCACTCAAGAGCAGACACTGAAACCTAAAACCTTGACTTGCACTTTCTAAAATAGACGTTGGGAGAGATCTGCGGCCTCTGCTTGTCACCAGTTTAATTCATGCGCCACTTGCTCCACAACACCCTCAAAGAAGAGAGGGAAGCCAATGTTGTCTATCTTGTTTTATAAGCTAATCATTCATTGGAGCAGGGATGTTCCCGTTTTGCCTGGTGGTAATCACTGGTAGCTGTTAACAATGGAGAATTGCAGCTACTGTATCTAGATCATTTGTGTCATTCTTGATTCGGGATTTGGCAGGACAATTTGTTTTTCCTGCACTGCTGGACAACTTACGTAAGGCTCCATTATGCCTTAAACTAACTGGGTTGAATGTTACATGTTGATTCAGTGAATGAGGAAAAAAATAATTGGACCGCTGTCTCCTGCTACTAAATGTTAGTTTAAGGGTGGATGTCTTTAACCGCAACATTTCTGGAAGGAATTGTGTTATTGTGCCACGATTTTATATTAAAATGGACCTCACCGAGAGAGTTTCACTGTTCAGAATGACAGATCTATATCAAACCTTTAAAAAACTAACATACACAGATTAGGGGGGAAAAATGTTAAATTCCAGAAACAACATAATATTAAACATTGCCAACTTACATTAACAGAAAATAAAAATCATATGGCATGTTGAAGGTTAACTTAAGATGACTGTAGCTCTCTAACCTCCTCTGTCCTTAGAAGAACAGAGTCCTCTCAAGCCTCTTGCTCTGTAACTTCATCACCTCACAAACCACTGAGCCACACTAGTATGTCTTGTGAATTTTATCTGGCTGAGAACTGTACCCGGATTTTTTAAAAGTGCCGTATGAATCAAAGTGATTAAGGCAAGGGTGTAAACGGAGAGGGTGAGCTCGGCCGCTGGCCTGGAGGGGCCATGCATGTCTGTGGCCAGCTGCACCTGTCTAACTGCGCTATAGGAGCAGGGCCTGGGGCCCCAAGGTGGAGCTCAGCCAAGGGGGAGCAGGAGAGGAAGGTAAGGAGGAGAAGCTTAGCGGAGGTTGAGCTGAATGTGATTCCCCTGAGAATCTCTCCCACTGCCTGCTCACCAAAGCTATAAATAACTTTTATTAGGTTTAAGTGGAATTAGTGGAGACGTTAGTCGTCAGCATGCTCATGGATATAGAGACATGGACTTTCTGACATGAGAAGGAAGGAGTGAGGAGTGTTAATAATAAGAGCTCTGCTAACAAATGGACAGTCACACAGGAGCACGCACATGTGCAAGCAGACACTGACATGGATGCAACAAATTAAAACAAAGTAAAAACATTTAATTCACATCATAAAATCTTCATTTATTAATTTTTCATTTTTGCATATTTCTATTTAGGGGCATTCTGGGTGCCTGTCCCACAATCCTAGGTGGCAGGTAAGACTGACATGTCATGCGTCCACTGCATGGATAGTCAAACACTCAGAGGCATTGAATACGAAGTGCACAAAGAAAACCAACAAGACCACAGAAAGGGCACATAAAATCAAGCACTGTGGCAAAAGCAGACCAGGTGTTTTCTGAGATGGAGCGCTTAACCCCCCCACCCACACATCCACATTAAAGGTGGTCTCCCTATACTTGTCCACCCTGCTGCCCCACTGTGTTCACTGCTAATATACAACATTAAGATGTCTTGAAATAAGCACTAAATTACTCGAGGAAGTGAAGTAAGAAAATGTAAACTTTATTGCAACGTTATCATTCTAAGTTCTCTGATTTACAGAAGAGAAAAAACACTTGTAATGGCACAGTCATCGTAATATGTACATTGCTGATACTGCAATAATCCAGACACTCGTGTTGTCCAGATTTAATAGTGGCATATTAAGGCACATGGTTCGCTCGGTCTGTAGAGGGAAGGAATAACACATTAAAGCTCTTCCCGCAAATTGTACGTGAACATACCACAGCATTCCATAAAGGCATTAGAACGGGAAAAGCTCTTCACACGAAGGGCTCGGTTGGGAAATCACAGTTTGTCCATTGTACATTCAGCTCTAGGAGAGATTAAGACGTTGATGTGTTCACAACATACTGCGTTGCACTAAGACATTTGGTGATGTGATAAGCTTCAGTAGACCTGAGTATTGGAGGTGATACAGTAAACTTGTTTAGATCAAAGTTACACAGTCAGTTTAGTGGTAAAGCATTCACTAAGTGATAAAGTTTCAGAGTCTGTATCATCACTGCTGGCCAGCTAAGATTGTCTTGTGAGGAACAAATTAATAAAAGAAAAGCACTGCCAGAGCATTCTCAACTAACTGTACATAGCAATGCATCATGGTGTAAAGGTATCCATGGGCTAGTTTAGCATATAATCACAAAGTACATATCATTTGCTTAAAGAATTTAGTCAGGGTTCAAACCAAATTTTAAAAATATCTTACATAAGTAACGCTACTGAAATAATGCAAGCGATTGAAGTGGATGTGATTAAAAGGACAGTCCAGACAGTAAGCTAATTGAAGGTATACATGAGGGCAGAAATGTAATCACTCATCAGGGTTTAAGAGGCCACTGCACCTCTGTGACTTTAAGTGTCAGGTAAACTTTCTCAGGTAAAACAATTTCTGATAAAAATCAAGAAGGCTGCGATAGAAATTTCTTATGAGAGCTTTGTTTGTATGTATTTCGGGGTCTGAAGTGCTCTTTTCCCGTGTCGTCCTATTAGAGGAGTACTTTGACATTTTGGGAAGCATGCTTATCCGCCTTCTTGCTGAGACTTGAGAAGATTAATACCACTCTTGTGTGTACACTAAATATATAAAGTCTACCGCCCAGAGACCGCTAGCTTAGCATAAGAACTGGAAACTGGAGGAAGTCATTGCTTCTGGCCAAGAAAATAGTCCAACACGTAACCCTTTTTAAAACAAAAGTTCATTTTTATGCAGATAAACCAATCAGATATAACCTTTTAGTGAGCTTTAGACGTGCTGGTGGTCAGATTTTGTTACGTTTGGGCCAGGCTAGCCGTTTCCCTGTATTTCCAGTCTTTACACTATGCTAAGCGAACCGGCAGTAGCTTCACATTCATATATCCATATATATCCCAACATGTCTAACCATCTATTAAAAACCTCCTTTCAACCTCTGTGGTGTCGTCAACAAGGCTTTCTGTAGAACTTAATTGTGCATTCATGAAAGCGCAGATCAACACAGCATCAGAAAGAGTTAGTAAAAAAATGAATGAGCAGCCCAATTAAAACCCTTACTTCAGCAGCTTAGCAAGACAGTAAAGGCTAAATTCAAACACAGCCAGGGTTACAACTTCAGAGGCTTGGCCTCATGTTCAGAGTGGTATGTTGATCTATTAAGTTAAACTACTTTAAGAATAAGTGCTAAGGGGTGACAGATTGGCGTGTCTGATGACTCTGTAAAGCAGTGACAAACCCTAACTTGAGATACATTCATAAAACATCAGCCTGTTGGCCTGATAAGTTCAAGTAAAAGCCTTTCCGATTAGTGAGCAAGACATACGGTGTGTCTGTCTTGGTGCGAGGCTTTTTCTCTGAGCTAATTTCCTCCCAATATGCATTTCCCCAAAAAAGCCCTTTCAAACTATTTCCTTTGTCTTTCTATATCTTCATTTGGTCTTCTTGAGAGATTCAGATTATTTTTAAGCAACCTAGGGGTTTGCTTTGTTCCTCCTTATCAAGAGAGCCAGCAGCAACTAAAAATTTAAAGACTGTAGAAATGCAGTATGTAAACACACAGATTTCTCCGGAACTTGTATATGAACAAAAAAAAAGAAAAAAGAAGGCATAACAGATCAAAAAGTCCGAAAACAAATCAGCCAAGAGGTAAAACCAAGTAACATTTTAAAAAAGGAAGAAAAAAACATTGTCACAAAGAAAAAACAACACACAAATCATTTTGAACTGTAAAGTGCAGGTATATAAAAAAAATCTTTCGACATATCATCTCAAGACAGGGCCTTGAGACAGGGTCAATGGTCTTTAGTGGAAAAGTGCAAGTTGAGAACAGCACAAGTATTTTTTTAAAAGAATTTGATTCAAAAAAAGTAAAAGGATGAGTCATATGACTCAGCTTCTCCGTAAGAAAACGGCCACCTCCTCCAAGGCACAGGGTAGTCCTGTAAGAACGTCCCCCCATCAAACACCTGAGCATTCTGGCTGTCCTGCCACTGGAAGCCTCCATTAGGTAAATAAATATCCCTCTGCACCGCTCCCTTCTCCACCACTGGTGCCACCAGGACCTGGAAACACACATACACATCAGTTTGGTAAAACAAATTCAGATGTCAGAGAGATAGTACACTTAATTAGCAAGACATCAAGTAACGGGGGGAGTTCATACACTATTGGATGCCAAGTACATTGGATGCTGACAGAGGGAACTCAATCCTTTCCCATCAGAACATCATTAAGTCACCTCATCTCCGATGAGGAACTGGTCATCGATGGTGAAGGTCATGGGGTCACTGGGACTGAGCCACCACATCGGCCGGTAGATGGGGTTTCCCGTCATCTGCCACTCCTCTGCATACTTTTCTATCAGTGGGACCACATCCCTCTGGTGCTTTGCTATGTAGGTCCGAGTTAGGTTTAGCAGCTATGGAGAGAAGAACATAAACATAATGAGGATTACAAGTGTAATAGTCTATTTGTATTTTTGCATAATCCTGTATTTTCATAACCAGGACCTGATCTTGTCATTATAAAAGTTTGCTTATGAAGAAGTGTATTTAGAGTCATGGTCTGCCCCTTTCTTTCAGAACCACTTATGTCTTTTATTAATATCCAGTCAAATACATTTTCAAGAAATCTGGAGCAACTGAGAAACTGAAACCAACATAAAAAAAAGCAAGCTCCTTCCTGAACTGAATCATCTGCCACAAGGATTTAAGGACTAGAATAATATTGACAGTGAGGTCTGCAAAAGACATTTATGCCATCTCTGCGCACAGACATGCAGACAGAACTGACTCATTGTTGACTTTGTAGTTCAACACTGTCCAAGTCTTTCTCCTGTCTCCCTCTGGCCAAACTGTCTCCAGCATTCCTGGAAGGGTCACATCCTCTTCAGTGTCCCGTGACAAAAACAAAACTTGACCGCATCTATAAAAAATTTATTTTTATGAGTTGGGAAATGGGAACATTTGTAGGAATGAGCTTGAAGTCACAGCCTGGGTTTGAATGGATCTTTCTCTAATTGAGAAGCCAGGCATGTGTGTGGGTTTGAGGTTTTATTGCTATTTGATTCCAATGCAGTCGCTGCTGTGACCTGTCTATGACTGACTCAAGTATCACACGTTCTGGAAATAAAGGTGTGCCACATTTAAAGTACAGTAAAACACGAATAAAAAGACTTATTTATTATGTGTAACGCAGCAGCCTATTCTCCTCTAAAATCTTCCCAGTCTCACTTCATCCAAGTTTATAAATTGAAGGCCATGCAAGAGACCAAAATGGAAAACATTGCTGCTGTCAAATGTCTAGCTGTCCAAAAGGCCTATTTTTATCTTTGTCACGCAACACGAGTCACAACCAATATATTTTGCTGCCTTGGTCCTCTCCTAGTGGAAAAAAAAAGCAGTTGATCACTCCCACTCTGTCACAATTGTCAGTTACTCATGGAAATCTTAATTGCCACAATAAAGTATTTTTCCAAGACTTGTCCTCAAATTCATTATCATTCCTGTTGAAGTGGCTCTCGAGAGTGAGAGTGAACCGTAAATCTAGAGGAGGGACTGTAATTCAGAACAGATGGACTCTAAACCACAGGTGATGTTGGGAGGGGGCCAAGCAATTGCTCCTATTGAGGGAAGAAGTGAAGAGCAGCGGAGTGGGAAAAATAGCCTTCACCATCTTTAGAAGCAGCAAGTGCTTGTCTGTTCAAGAACCTGAGCCTGGGTCCCGCATTGTCCAAAGTATCATTATCTGTCACCAGACTCTCTGAGATTGTAGGCTTTGTTTTCCTGCTGTGCACGGTGAAAAGTACATTCCTGATTTCCAACGGAGATGGACAGGGTTTAGTCCTGCCTCTCCTTCGGGTGGGGGGATAATCTCCCACTCCCTTTAAGAACATTTAATTTGCAGCGTTCACACGTCACTTCACATGATCTCTCCACTCTAAATCTACACAAGTGAAACAAAATCTTGTTATCAAGCCTGGAAAAGAACGTGAACCTGCTAGGGTGTTGCTGTTGTAATTACATCTAATGTGGATGATGAAGATGTAATGACAGCCATCTCAGCCCAGGGCGGCAGGGTGGGCCAAAAAAAAGAGGAAAAAGTTGCTGGGTTAAGTGTGTCAGGGTGCGTGAGGTGCTCTGGCTAGTTTGTAATGTGATTTTTTTTACATCAAATTCTGTTTGCTTACCCTGTCCTCTCCAAAGACCCAAGGTGGCGTGTGGAAGCTGATAACAGGGAGAAATGCTGTGATCTCCAGCCAACGGATGAACAACTCCTCGTCTGTGACCAGGTCTCCAGACAGAGTACCACCTGAAGGGAGAGAGAGATGGGCAGAGGCAGAGAAAGTTTTCTTCTTTTAGCTTTTTAAAAATTGGCAGATTCAAAATTGGGTGAGATCCTGGATGGAGACGTGTGGGCAAAGTGAACTGTACAGCCTCATAATGTGTACCCCTGCCTTGAGACGACTGAAATATTCTTGTGTTCAAATAATGAAATATTTGAATCATGTCACTTTGTTGTAAGGGACAATGGACTACTTAATTAGTTTTTATTCTGATTTCTCCGTATTAAAATAAATATACAGTACATATTTTGTCATTGATTAATGAATGTATAATCATTGTAAAAATGATTTAATTAGTTTATTTTTGGACTCTCTGAGGTATTGTAACATTCTGCATCTGGCTTATACACATACAAAATTAACAGTCCGAGTGTAATTCATCTATCCTGTCTGTAGTACTGACGGCTCTGTTTTCTCCACTTCAAAGTAAATACTTTTCTCACATAGACATCAGCTATTTAACTGGCTGTGATCTGCCATCACAGGAATTAGGAATATTATAGTGATACACTTTTTTTCTTTCTCCACTTTTCTGAGAAACAGTGAAGAATCTTTTTAAAATGTGATGTAACCGCAAAATATTAAGCACAGTAACAATACTGTTAGAGGTGAGAAAAGTGAGCCATAGGCTGTGGTATTACCTACTGCATCAGGAATGAGGAAGTTGTATCCCAGCAGAGTGTGGTGGAGCAGGGAGGGAATGATGCCCTTCAAGCCCATTGGGCTCCAGTCGGACAGCAAGGGGGTCATCCTGACAAAGAGAGGCTTGTGGCTCGATCTGAGACACAAAGAGCATCACAAAAAGCAGAAGCAGGCTTTAAAAAGACATGGGGACAGAAGGAGCAATCTCAAAATGTATCCCTCTTTACAAACAGTGGCAGTTGATAGAGCATACAAACAAGATGCTTGAGGGCATTACCGTGTCCCTGCTGTCACAATGGTGGAGTCTCCTATCCTTGTGGCCAGGTCGGCCAGCTGGCTGATGTACTTGTCTCCCCAGAGAGCCTGTGGTGACCGCAGGGCTTGCTCCTCAAACAGATTCCCTTCTCCTCCCTCCAGCATGACATACTCCATCCCCAAATGGACCTGCAGGGAACCCACTCTGTCCAGGAACCAGCTCACCGCTCCTGGGTTGGTGATATTCAGCTTTACACAGAACTTTCCTCGCCAGTGACTCATCACAGGGATCTGAGAGACAAAGTAACTGGATTTTCTATCAGAGTTTATTTTACACTATTGTCATTTTCTATTTTGGTCATAAATTAGGAACCACAGTGCCTCTGCTGTTGCAATAATGTTTTTTTATAATGATTAGGCCATGTTCACATCACTGTACCCTACTGCTTTTTATCAAACTGTGATTGGACACAGGCAGATAGAAAGAGTTCACTCTGGAAAAACTTCTGTCTGTGTGCTTTTTATAAAGAGTAGAGTGTTCTTATAACTTGTGGAAAGTTCAATGTTTTAGACATTGGAATATGTTTTCTGTGAATGGACCAATCACAATGTAGAGGAAGTGGCCAGAACGCAATCAAAGAAACCTTGCGTGGACTGTGAACACAGCTTAGCACTTTACAGGAGCATGACAGTGCTCTACTCACCAGCTGTCCCTGGGGGTCTGAGGGAAGACTGAGCCAGTAGGCCTCGGTGCCATCCATGAGGGAGGTGTGGAACTGCGTGGTGCCCACGCCCAGGAAAGGGGACAGGGTGATGGAAATGTTAAGAAGTTTGACAAGTGGGAGGTCCCTGGTCAGTCTCTTGGACATCCCCCTTTTCCTGCTGTTGAGGTAGTCGTGGTCCTGCAGACAGACAGAGAGATGCACTAACTGCATTCACAGAAATGTCAACACTTTGCATTAGTAAGTCAGCCTAATAACAGCATCATCTAGCAATAACTGAAACAATAACTGCCTCCATTACATCCAAATAATTTACCTTTAACAGTATGATGCACTAATGGAACAATTCAAATCTTCATAAACCAGTGTGACAAATAGCTTCATAACTGACGCACTGATCTCTCTCCTGTGGGCACATTGCTTTGCAGACTAGTAGCTGCGAAAACATTACCTCTGTCAGAATCGTTTATCATATATCATAATCCCTTTGGAATTTACAGGGCAAAGTCAAACAGAGATTTCAGATTACATAACCGTGAAACAAAACCTTTTAAGAATACAAAGACTGACCCCAAGGAGGTGAACCTGCTGTGGGAAGAAAGGGTAGAAAGGTATTAGCACATATTTAATTTTTTTGAAAATTCAAAATAGGTCAAAATAGGCCAAAACATAGGCTAGCTTCTGGTCTTTTTTTTTAAACTAGGTTTGTGAAAAGCTGCATTATTTAGTGTCTCAGGAATAAGTTTAGAGACGTGGCAAATAATAACCCAAATTTACCTTCCAAAGTCCTTCCAAACTAATAAAGGCACTGGAAAAGAAAAGATGCAGTGTGACTGATAATTTATGAATACTTGTAAAAGTTTACCGTTGTTGCAAGTCACACTTCTGTTAGAGAGTTCCACGTCACACACAACGTCAAGTTCCTTAAGTTTCCATGCAGCACTGTACGCTTGGCTGGGTCTTTATGGCACTTATGGAGGGGGACTGGGAGGTGTAGAGCCAACAAAACGGGTGTTTAATATCTTTGATGTACCAGAAAAAAAAACATTCTGATTGCGGGGGAAGGAAACTCTTGTTCACTAAATGGCATCCATGAACTCAAATGTTATTCCTCCGATTTTCTCCCTCTCGTTTTACGCCTTCTGAACTAGAGCTAGTTCTAGGAACGTACTGTAAGCATTGTGTCTGTATAATGAGATGCCTCTCTGCTGGATAGAAACTCCTCTGCCTCCTCTTCTGTTGCACGGTCTGGGTCAGATCACAGCATCATGCTGGGTCAGGAACACCTACTCAAGTTAGTCTTGGCTGAAATCCCTTCTAATCTCAACACATCCAATTCTTCGCCATCCCACAGTTACCACATTCAGAGCAACCTGAAATCAGTTGAGAGAGTCTCTGTTTGTCTTCTCTCAACCATATTTGTATTGTAATGGAATATCACCTGGTATTGACTTAAATTCACTTGACTGAACTCCTGCTGGTCTTGTTTCCAGGCAGTTCCCAACAACATTCAAGGGAAGTAACTGGATAATTGTGAAACAATAATAAACATCGACTTGCAAAGACTAGAAGAAAATCACCTGCCAATTTTGCCATAAAAACAAAAACACACCAGATATGCTAAGCAAGTTTAGAACACCTGAAACATATTAGGTGAGCGTGATATATCACATTTACAAGCTTTAAGATATCATTCAAAAAGTGCCCTGCGGGTAGAGTGGTCTGCCCTCAGAGAAACAAAGTTTTCAATATGAAGGTAAAGCCGTAAACCATCTTTTTTTCTACGCTGTGACATTTCAGTGAACCTGTCCTCCCTCCTTCACTCCCCGAATTGTCTCCAGCACTCTGGAAATCTACTTAAGAAAACTCTTTTATCTCTATCCCTGACCACCTTTAAGTCTCTGACCAGTGAACCCTCACCAGCTTAACAGCCCAGATGGTTGAACAGGAGGATTACGAGTCTGCAACTACATGTCGCAAGAATTATGTGAATGCGGAGAGGATGAATAAAAGAACGCTTAAAGACATACTAAAAGAGATGTGTATGTAAGTTAGCTACTGCACTGTATACTATGTAGTTTATCCTGTATGCTAATGAGGTTCCATGGGTAGGACAGAGAGTTAAACACTGATACCTTTACAGATACAAACCTTATTCAAGGAACAGCTTCTCTGGAGGTACAAATGTCTCACAGATTGAGTTCAATTTACATGAACAGAGCCAAGGAAACACTGTTCTTCAAAGTGTCACATAATTGACAAATCTGAATGGAGAAGAAAAATAAAGAGTGTGAAAGGCCCAATGAAGTGATATTTTACTTTCTGAATTTGTGTGTTTCCGGTTGGTCATTAGGTGTAACCCAAAGAGGGAAGATTGAACCAACAGGATGTCTGTTAGCAGTTTTTTTTTTTGTCAAATGTGTGGTGTTTTTAGGTGGATTCTCTATCACATTTTTGCCCTTTGATTCAGTAGTTTACATTTAAAGATGCATTGATATATAGGAAAAAAATGGTGAGATGCTATATAGCTACAACCTTTGAGATGAAAGTATTTTTTTTCACATAGTCGGAAGAACATTAAGCTTGAGGTTATTAGCTACATCACTTCACTCACATCTTCCCTTGCTTCCAATCTAACATAAAACTATGACTCTCTGGCTCGGTCACTTTGAGGTTTAACTCCAAGTGAGATTTTTCTTTAGTGCCTCCAGTGCAGGTCTGCCTTCGCAAAATCCTGCAAAAATTTTTGAGGCTGGGGGTAAAAGACAGAACAGTGAGGCGCATGTACCGTGTCAGAGAGGAGGGTGGTGGAATGTTCATTGAGACTGATGACTCCCTCCCCCAGCTGGTGTCTCCTCAGACGATTGGAGAAGGTCCTCAGCTCCCTCTCCACCTTCGGCCCTGAATCCACATTGGTGAGCAGCTTCCAGAATGGCAGCCTATAGGACACGCAGAGCGATCATACAGAACCTGCTGCTCTGAGGGACATGGGTGGATATTTATGACTCCCTAAACCCCCACAAAGTTTCAGTCAGTGCTCACTGGACCCAACAGATGCACTACTGTTTAACTTATTGGCATTATGATAAGTAAACGAGGCAAGGAAATCCTCATCTCCACTAATCTTAATCTAAACTGAACTAACCACAGTGCTTTCATGTTGGGCAGCTCCCTGCTCTGCTGGGAGAGTTGCTGCACTGCTTCCTGGTGAGCAGCTTTCATGTCGTAGGCCACACACACAGTGTACTGCAGAGGGAGACGCTCCATACTGGGCAATGACTGCAGGCAGAACTGCTGTCTACTGTCCACCCCCAGCTGCAGGGGAATATCTGGAGATACAAGCACAGCAACACCTGTGTGGTAGGAAGCAGACGGTATGGGATGTTAGTTCCCCATATCATACTTGTCAGAAATTCAGAACTGTTACTTCAGAGAATTAATCATAACAATAAAAATAGTCTTTGCTTCAAACATGTATAAGGTGGGCCTTGACGCAAAGCAATAAAAGGTAGTGTAGGTATGAGACAGTCCGTTGCGGATTCATCTTTTATGACATGAGTGAATGACATATATGAGTGTTACTGAGACCAGGATGATGGATGGAGTGTTGTGGGAGGTAGAGTGTGGGCTGTGTCAGCTGATATCCCTCCACTCAGATGTGAGAAAAACACCACCTAGAATGAGATATGGCAGTATGCAGTTAGATGAGTTTACCCCTGGCACTGCTGGCAACTTCTAAGTAGGTAAGTTACACTACACAACGATAGAAGAAGGGTTAGGTAACCGGTATATATATTGAAAGTCACATTGGTCTTGGATATGAACGTATGCTTTCATTTGTTTTTTTCTTCAGAACATAAAAAAACCCATGAACTTCATCCTTACATCTCCGAGTCTCTCTCTGTGACAAAACCAGCATGGAAGACAAACTTAGAACACCTGTGATTAAATGAGACAACTCTAGCCTTCTAAAAATCTCTACTGTACGTATATATGACCTTCCAGAGGCTGCGTGAAATGATGAGATTATGCAAAGCGGATAATTGTGTCCACAGATGTAGCTGCCCTGCAAGGAATGCCTCGTCCCTCTCAAGTTACCCCTATCCCCTATCCTCACCACTTCTCACCCGTCCGGATTCCCACCTTCTCCCTCCCAGCCTTAACTACCTTCTACTCTGCTCTGCTGTCCCATCTCAGGTCAGCAGAACCCAGCCCATATAGACCAGAGCCTTCAACCCAGACTCACTGTCGCTCCAGTTTTTGCACAATCTGCTCAAAGTAGCCAAACTGGGATTTGGGATTTGGAGCTGATCAATGAACAGATTAGGGTGCAAGACCTGTTTCCAAAGCAAGGCAGACAGTCTGAGAACCCAGGCTAAGAGCTTGGCTCACTTCTGCCACCCTCTCTAGTTTCAATGGGCTTACTGTTCTCATGCAGGCAGGGACCAGGAGCAGGCAGGAAACTCATGTAACGGTTTATAATCAGATTAATAGTTTCAGAGATCAGTATTCAAGTACTACATAAACCCTGGTGAAGATCCTTCAACCTCAGGGTAATTCTCACGTGTTCGCAATGGATAATGTCAAAGAGATACTCGTAGCTCCTCAGCTGCCTCTCACAAGGTATAAGGTCACCACCCGACTGCCTGTTAAAGACTCATAATGGCAGACAAATGCAGGTTTTTGCTAGAAAAGCTGTTATATATTTAAATCGCAAGGGATAAAATGGCTTCAATTCATTTTTAATAAAGAAAAGATGCCATGAAACTGTGCATTTCAATACTGTACATATAAAGTGGAGTAGAAAGTGGGACAGAGGAGAAAATGTTATAGCTTTATGGAAGGATGGAGGTGGAATGCAGGCAGTGGAAATAGAGGCGACCAGAGTACACCAGACACCAAGCAGCCTTGTAGAATGATGTGCAGATACAGCAGGCTGCAAACAGCGTGTTTTACCAAAGTGCACACGGGGTGGAAAGTAGAGTTTAAGTTTGCAAGCATGCCTTCTTGAGTCATATTTAATGTTTATGAGAAATGACACTGCAGGGCCTCAAGGAAATGACAAAACAGCTGCACCTTGAGTTTCCATCTTTGACTAAACATGCAGATTTGAACGTTAAATATGCTAAATCCTGTCTTATGTGTTTATACATACTTAAAGCACTTTGCATGTATGTATGCATTTTTAGTATGGGGGATGTCCTGATGGAAAATGAACTTCTAACCCTGCTTACGTCACTCTGTACGACACAGACACATATCTTTGACTGAATAAGAGTACCTCTAGATGCATATACCAGACGGGAGCAAGGAATCAATAAGTGTTATTTAAAGAAAGTGAAGCAGGTTTGAGGCCTTGAGTTACAGCCAAGGTGGGGTGCCCAGGAGTTAAAGGGGGACCCTATTTTTAGAACAGTTCCTTAAACATGCCAAGCTTCCCCTGAAATATTTTCCACTAGCTCTCAAAAGCAAAATTGTATGCCTGACTGACCGTATCCGCTCAACTTCAAAGCAGCAGACAGAAATAAGTAGAAAGGTATAAATAAGTTTATTGGGCAGATTTGAACGATTTGACACGCACATGCCTCAATTTTACAGCTGTTGAGTGAACATACCAATCATGCAACCTTGGGTTGCCTCTTTACATACGTGAATATATATGTGTTCTCACACACATCCACACACACTTCCTTTAATGGGAAACCGTGGACTTCCAAGAAAAACAGAGCAGGACTTTTAGGGCCATAAAGGCTCTGCACTGTCTCTCGCTCGGTATGAGCTAAACGTCTAGAGGTGGTAGCAGAGGTGACCCCATGCACCTTCTGATGGGTCAGGGAGTTTTTAATGTGACCTCTAGGCCCTCTGGGAATGGCTGGCCTGGAGGAAAAACGCTGCCGCCTGACTCCCTGCTGCTGTGGACCAGATGGGCTGCACTCTTTTACCTGTCATATTTATACTATACTATTTATGACACCTGTGCACACTAGACTGGGGTTATAGAAGGTGCATTCAAATGCTAAATATGTATGTGTGCGTGTGCTTGCAAGTGTGTGTTTTCTGGCATGCTTTTCCTTAACAATGGAAACTTAGTTTCTGTGCCCAACCTCAAGAAAGTTGTGATGGCCACAAAACTGGGAGCTTGCCATGGTAGTAAATTTCCAATTCGACTTATTGAAAAAATAATGAAACACTAAAGAGACTTTGTTTGCTCTAGTCCTACCATCTATTAGTGTGAGACACTGTGTTCTGTACAAATTACCCAAGTAAAATTTTTCATTCTGTTTAACAATAGATCAGACAAGTAATATGAATAATGCAATTTAAAATGATTTTCTTTTCCTTTTCTTTGACTTCAGTCGCACACTGCTAAAGTAGTTCAGTGCTAATGTTCTCATACAACCTAAATGATAGATTTTGGCTTATTTCAGGTAAACAAATGCTTGCAGTACAAGGTAGCTCAGTATTAAGTAACTGACACCACTGACTGATTTCGTGTTGTGTTGTTGTATATTTTGTATTACATCAGTGGACAAAAGCACTCAATCAATCAATCCTCCATTTAAAAAGTCTCTCTCTACGGTCTCTTGCTTGTTGTCCTTGATGGAAACTATTAGGTAGGAGGTCGACAGTGGAAAATTTTGTGGGATGATTTTCATACAGTAGCCACTCATACAGGAGATGACAGCTTGTTTGTAACAACGCTTCAGTTGGCTAAGTGAGTCATTGTTAAAGTGTTTCACCTCTTACTTGACGGGAGAGTCGAGGTTTCAGGGCAGCTGCCCAGGGACCTCCTGGTGACCTACTGAGTAACACACGGATGTGTTTTGGGACAGCTTGTCTCCCGTGCCCGCCTCCACATTTCGAGCATTTATCTCTATATGCGTATGACTCAGATGTTTTTTACTCAAGATTGTAGAGTAACATTCACATTTTGACTATTTTTCTGTCTGTGGTTACCTTGCTTCCTTTGCTATTGCTCACCATTAAGTACCATAACGGAAATACATTTTTTTATTTCTATTATATCAAAAAAGCTGATTAAGTATCATTATCTGAAAGAAAAAAATCCATGGCGGTTAAATAACTTGTATCCCTATTTGTCTGCTGTGCTTGGCTGGTTCCCTCCGAGAGACCAAAAAACAAATGAGCAGGAACAGTAAAGTATCATTTCTTTGGATCCCACATGGAAATATTGAGTCAGAGGCAGAAAGAAAGGAAAAGGAGCGGGAGATAGTGAGAAACCATTATACTAAAATGAACATCAGGAGAGATCAGAGACAAAGACAGAGAGAGAGAGAGAGAGAGAGCGAAAGAAAGAAAGAGATAATGTGTATCCACATTTGGACATGTACAGTATATGTGTGTGTGTAGGGGACAGTCTAATACCGGAGTTGTTGTGAAGTCATATGAGTCCTGCAGAAATGAAATCTGATTCGAATCTCCAATGCTCACTTTGTAAAAGTTAGCATGGGGGGAAAGGCAGATATGAAGACACAGTAGATAAATTACTTTTATGGGATTCCGACTGAGCGCAAGAGAGCTATGTGATGTCAAAGTTGGAGCTATCACACTCACTCATTACAACGACCTGCTGTGAAAACAAATAGGATCTCTCCAAGCCCTTATTTGTAATGATGAGTGGGGGAAACTTTGATGAGAGCCAAGCTATGTGTCTGATATATCTGCAGGTGGACTTCGAAAGGATGAGGCCCTCTGAAGATGAATAATGCTCATATTAAAGGACTAAGAGAATTTTTCATGCTCTTATATTTTAACCTCCCATATTGTTTTATATTTGGGTGATAAAAAGCAAAAAAAGGGGGAAATAAGCTGCACTTTGTGTGTTAAAATCCCAAATAGGATGATACAGAATCTAATATAAGCAAATGAATACATCATATCAGTGTGTGGATAATTAACATGCATACATGGATAGATTTTTTTTTTTGTATTGTACTCAATTTGTTTTTTACTTATTTTACTTACGCATTAGAATAGCTGATTTCAAATAAACATTTTAACTATTTAGTTATTTATAATGCCTGCATTGAAAAAGCCATGTGTCTCTTTCCTTTTTTATTCAGTAATGGCAGCAATGTTCTGATTCGCCTACTGACAATTTGCTATTATGATCTTTCCACATAATAATGACAAAGGTGTGACACACAAAGGTGTGGCATGACTATAATCTCTGAAATATAGGTGACCATCATTTAGCTAAAGTAGGTTTTGAAATGTGAAATTGCCATCATTTTTACAGATTCATTCAAAACACTGACAGCTGTGCTACAAAAATATTCTGCCTGAACAGAGCTGTGTTATAGCACAGGGATTTTTAGCAAGATACTATAAAATAGCTATAAGCCAGAACAAGGCTTAAACTGACACTGTAAAGATGTTGTTGTATATATAATATACTAATGAACAATAAAGTTCAAGTGACTTTAAATAACAAATAGATCCACATATAGATTAAATGGTTTAAATTTAATTTATAATCAATTTTATTTGATGCAGGACTATTTCATTTTAAATACTGACCCTAAAGGGATACTGTAGAGCAGAAATGATCAGCATCTATGTATTAACAGAATTAACGGTGCATTTTCAGTTCGAGTCCCTGTCCATTGCTATGGTGGTAAGTCCCTCCAGTATTGTATTGAGCCAACAGGCAGCACCTGATTACTGTCATGTGATTTGACATTGTGTAGTAATTATTTTCTAAAGTATAAGTATAAGTATCTGCACAGTTTATCAAAGAATATTTCTGCTAACATTTGCTCACTAAAACCCCATTCATTCAAATCATATCCTTAAGACCTCCAGTTAATAAAATGTAGGAATAAACCCTTAAAACTTTAGGACAGCTTCTCCCTGAGAGTCCCTTCTTATGTTTTAATGCAGGATGTGGCTTCAGTGATATTTAATCTGTTCTTAGTAGCCCAGTTGTTTTTGTATGGATAAAGACAGGTGGGGCTCTGACAAGTTCCTCCAGTTGGCAACACTCTCAAATGTCACTTTATAGCACAGTGGCATATATCTTCTCTCCTGTCTCTCTGCTGTTTCGACTTCCTCTTTACTTTGCAATTTTTTGTTCTCTTTTCTCAATTCTCTATAATATCAGCCATTACTGCACAGCATGTGGCCATTCTGTTGCTCTGTCGCTCTATGCTTCAGTCTGTCCGTTTTTCTATGACCGTCCCCAGGGGTCCTCTTAGGTTAGTAACATCCGTCACAGCTCCTTATTCCCTACCTCATTTATAATGTGCTCCTATGACTAACTAGAGTCAGTGAAGACAGGTCCCATGCACACACGTCTTGCATGTACAACAAAAATATCACTAACGGCTAGTGGGCTCACACAACTGCGATGCCTAATATTAAGCTACAACTGCAGTATGTTTGTTTTGTAGAGAGCAGAATCAGGGGAAAAGGCATCATACTTTAACAGATTATTTGTTAGTCCATTATTATAGAAATAATTCACCAACAGGACACATGTGGTGACTCTTAGAACCACTGGAGTTCTGCCTTCTACAAAGCTGTTTTTAGGAAAACAAACATACTGCAGTTCTTTTTTAACCTGACTGAAACTCAGTGGAAGAGAGGCACGCCTGCTTTCTCGCATGAACTCATAACTCATTAGAGTAAAACTGTGAGATCAGTGGGAGCGTCATACAACATTTTTGCACCCTATCGGTGCAAAGCACAGACAAGTGCATTGTGTGCAATTAAAATGATAAAAAAAATTTTTACATTAGTAAGTACATTAAAATTGGGTTTGTTAGAGACCAGTATCAAACATGGTCAATCCAGTCAAGCTGTGTTTTTTGTGCAATTTTACTTGGAAACACAACAAATGCAAAATATGGTCAGAAATGACATTGAGTGTACATAAAGGATTCATTTTTTATGTTGTTTTATATGTTTATTTTACGTGCTGTAAGAGATTTTTAGGTCTGCATTTAATTAGTTTTGGTCAGTTAAAGTCCAAAAATAATAGTGTTTCACTGCCAAAACTAGGAACAAATCAATAATCTGATTAAGCCTTCACATGGTTGCATAAACTCACAGTTCCCCATAACGATCCTGTTTACTATCCACACATAACTGTGGATTTTTTCTCTCTCCATAAAAGCTTCTCTAATTGTTTCCTGTCCCACCACTATTAACCACAACAACAACACAGTTATGACCGTACCGCATCATGCTGTTCATCGCAGCCGCAGTCATCTATTGCAATTTAAAATGTGACGCTTCAGATTCTGCTTTTGTCAGAGCTGTTGGAAGGAAGAAGACGGCAAATGCAGCTGCAGCAGTCAGATATTGTGATGTTTTCAGATGAAATAATGGTGGCCCTGAGGCTGTTTGGTTGTGTAGAGAGGAGAGATTTCATTGTGTTTCAGCTTTCCACAGAAGTCAATGTCCACTGCCTCTTCAAGCTATCACTGTTTGCAAGTTTAGCATAATAATGAGCCATAACAAACCAGTCTGATGTGCACGAGAGCACAGACGCTTGCACGGTTATTTTGCAGGAGCGTGGGGCTGCTTATACAGGATCAATGATCTATTCAAGGTAACCAGTGCAGTGTGCATTCCACAAAAAAGAGACTGCAAATAGAACATATACCTGCCCCTGAAATGAGGGGATGAATCACGGTCCTCATCCAGGATGCACACTGCTGTGGATGCAAGTAATAACCAGACAGTTGGTTATTAGTCTGCCATACTGGCATTTTACTGCCATAATGAATCCATACTTACATACATAATTAAATTTTTAAACTGTATTCTTGTTCTATATCCACTGGTAAAAATGAAATGAAAACAGACAAGAGTTTCATACAATGTATGAAAACTGTTTGTCTGAGTATGAAAGGTGTGTATAGAAAAACGTAACACCAAAACAGCAGTGCATCGTTGGATTGTCTGACATTTCATTTTTGTGCCTATCCTCCCCCTGGGGCTCACTGCAGTTCAAATAAAAACACATTGCTACCTGCAACATAGGACCCTACAAGTCTGATGGTTAAGCCTCTTGTTAATGTATAGTACAAACTGAAGCACGTGCGAATAATATAAATGAGGCAAACGCATGATTATTAGCTTCAGGTTGTGCTCAGTTACAGAGCAGGAGAGTAACAAAAGGATGTGACCCGTCCACGATGAGAGTTTCATGTTAACTGATTGTTACCTACTTGTTGTTAGGTCTCCTTCATTTTTAACTCACAAGCTTGAAGAGTGAGGCCAAGATCTGCCCTGTCCAGCTTCATCAACATCACTTATCAGTAATAATTTTAGCTGATCCTAAACAGGAAAGCAGCTGAGTACACATTTCTATACGTCCTGAAAGATTTACTGCAACTTGTTTTGTGAAAAATGATTCTCTCTGAGGCAAATGCGCATGTTAAGTGAGTAAAACAAAAACATCCTTGAACTTTAAAGCAAGATATCGTGTTAAATATACCTTTAATGCTGCAATAGGCATCGTTGTCATCGCTGAGCATCAGTTTGCTATGTTTGGGGCTATGTACAGTATGTGTCTGTGAGTGGTTGCTTGGCAATGTTCAAACAGTTGTTCTCATTGGGATCTCATCTCATCTGTGCGTTTTTTCACTCTGTACAAAGCTAAACTGAGAAACAAAGGGTTACAGGGTCCTGATAATTACCACTGTACCCTCACAAGGTGGAAAAGGGATTTAAGTCATGTGACTCTCTTGTTATGCCTGCCACTGTGTTACATAACTTCCCAAAATGTGTATGGGTGTGTGTGCATTTGTATCTGTCAGTATGTGCATGAATATGTTTGAAACTACTGCTAACAATCAGTGAGGCCGTAATAGATTATTGTTTGTATCGTGTCACTGGCTGATGTCACGTCCTTTGGCCTGATGTAGATGCCGCTCAATGAGGTTTTTCAATGTCTTGCGTTTCTGCTTGTGATGTTGCCAGTGTGACTGTAAAACTAATATTTTATCGAAAAATATTTTAAGGATAAAAATGTGTTAGTGTGAGCAGCAACTCAGTAAACAAACTCCACACAAAGACAACTTGAGAGCAAAGTCCCAGAGGTTAATGCTGTACCCACTACCACACAAACACACACACACGTTCCTCATCAGTCACATTAACCATTCACATCCGCCAGTGGTCCCTGCCTCCCCCCTTTGCCCCCTAAGATAAAATTTAACACCCCAAAAATAACCTGGTGAGTTATAAGAGTCAGCAGGGCCCTCATCCAGCCTGCCCTTTTAATAGAAACAAAAGGCAATTACCCCAGTATCCCTAAGAGTTAATTTAAGATGCTAAAGGTGTTTTGCTTCCCTTTGTAGTCTAATCTCTAAATTAATAAACTGAGATGCCATAGACAGTGTTGTGTTACACTCTATTTGTAGGACAGCCCTCCTGTCCAGTCAGTGGTCTGTGTTTTGGGGACACTGGTTCTGGAGGTGGTCGGACCATTCTTCTCAGCTCAAACACAACCCGTGGTTGAGGGGGTGGGGTTAAGAAAACACAACAACATCCACAGGGCTTCCCTCATGGGGATTCATGTAAACGGCTGATGAAGGGTCAGATAACCCTGCACAAAAGGCAGGTGTGGAAAAACATCATTTTAATGATGATGGTATTCTTTATTGTAACAGACCTATAGGTGTGAAGAAAAATCATGACTTCACTTTTGCTGATGAGATAGTCTCCACTAACAGTAAAGCTCAGTTCACACAAATGATAATTCCAACAAAGACCGCTCACCTGATGAGCCCAGGAAGTAGCGTTCCAGGGCAGAGCCAAAGCCAGAGGGATTGTCCTTAAGATCACTCACCACGAAGGGCTGCGTGGTGGCGTTTTGATTGTTGATCGGCCAGGTCTGACCCCGAACACTGGCTCCGCCGTACCAGGACACATTGGTCATGGAGAAGCAGTCCTGAAAGGATGAACATGCACATGCAACCACACACAAAAACAAACTGTGTGAGAGACAAAGACACATAAAGAAAGACGTAGCCGAGGGTTAACATTAAAGGATAACTTCGGTGTTTTTTGTTTTTTTTTTTAAACCTGAGCCCTATTTTCATATATTTTGGTGTCGAAATGACTGTAGGTGCACAAAGTTTTGGAATCCGTGCATTAGATGGCTTCAGAACACAACAAACTCCTCTCTCCAACGTCATCTTCCTGCAACAACATGCCTCTCACGAGTTTTCAGAGCGATAATTGTCCTAGAGCAAAACGTCTGTTTCTTGTTAAAACAATAGGTGTCACCGGGAGTCACCCGTGGGGATCCTTTACATGATGTTGTTGATACCCGGTGTAACAGCGAGAGCCTCACTCAAAAAGTGCTTCTTTTCGTGGACGTTATTTTTAAGGGCGCAATTGCACCGAAGGAATATGCTGCAGCCGCTGCAGTGTGGCTGAAGCCATCTACTGCAGGAATTCCAAAAAATGTTGAACCTATCAGTCATTTCAACACCAAAATATGTGAAAATAGGGCCGAGATTTAAAAATGCCAAAATCACCCTTTAATGAAGACAGTGTGAAGACTGAAACAGCAGCTAAACATATAAAAATTGATGCTGACTGGAAAAGGAATAGGCCTAATATAATATATAAATAAAATTCAGTGGTATGGTTAGGGTTTTTTTTTATTTAGAACCCTCAAACACACATCTAAAACACCACACACATTTAGTGAGTAATTCAAAAAGTTTATAGAAGCATGAGAATGCTTAAGGCAGACTTAAAAGTAAACGATGAATGTAAATTTCAGTTATGAGTAGGTATAAGGTGAATTTGACTTTAATGAGTATGGATGATTCTTTGACATTCAGCGCAAGTTACTATTACTTAAGTGCAGAAATGCAGAACACAAGAAGGTATGTGATGGCTGGTACATGAGACTGTCAGAAAGCATCGCACGCAGGAGGGATTGAATGGCATAAGTGTTTTAAGAGAAAGCTTGTCCTTCCTCAAAGCGTCTTTACACGTGGGGGTAGGGAAATGCGCAAACGGGGAGCTCATTTATGTCATGTTAGCAAATCTGGCCTGTGTTAAGGGGGTTCAAAACAGGTGCCAAGTGGTCACCTGAGAGGCACCGGGCAGGATTTTGGAAATTAGAAAAATGAAGGCGACTTTAGTTTGGAAAGATTTTCTGTGTGCAGGCGCGCCACATGACGGGGAGTTATGGCGAGGAATTTTCCAGTGGGGACAGATTAACCTACCCAAACATCCCCATAGTTAAATGCCTTTGATAATTAAGCTGGGGGGAGGGTGGGGGGGGGTACAGTAGGTACTGTGCATGTACAAAAAGCCTAACAACTGTGACGAAGCAGATTTAACACGAAATGTATTCTGCTCAATAGAGTTAAATCGAGGGCAGTAAAAAAAGAGAAAAGATGAGGGAATCACGCAAACTAATTTTTTTTGGTCTGTAAGATCCAGTCAGTTTGCATTTAATTACGTTTCAAAAAAAACAAATCCGACCAGAGAGAAACCATCAAAATTACATTAATATCACACCTCAATTGCTGTATTCTTAATGAGCCAACTTTTCTATGGCATTGAATTATTCACATTGCATACTGCAAAAAGGCCTGTTACTTATTTAATTTCCATTTGAAGTTTCCACTTGTTTTTTAATGCAGTCATGTGATTTGACAATTTCATATAAGGTGGTGGTTAAGATTTAGGTAGAAGATCACCCATGTAAAACAAACATCATCAGCATCATCAACAAAGCGTCTTGTAAGTGATTTGTGTGAGAAAAACGCTTGGGAATTTGACCGGGGTCTTCGTTGTGTTTTACATTGTACACCAGTATCACAGCAGCCACGGCGCAATCACATGCCAATTAACAATTGCTTTTTGCGCATCGCATTTTGTCTAAAATTTTCACAAGACCCTGACTGTGTTTAGTGCGACATTTGAGTGCACACACAGAGAAACCTTACCTTCAGCTCCACATGACAGTGCACCGGCGCCCAAGTCATGCTGTAACACTCCGTCTCCGTCTCCTCATTCACCTCCAGCGAGATCTTCACCTCGGCCACCGAGTCCCACGTATAGCAGAACTCTGTTTTATTCAGCCAGCACAGGTTCCTCACGAAGGGAACCTCGATGTCGGGGTTCCCCACGTTCCCGACGTCTATCTCCACATAGGTCTTGTCCTCCGTCAGGGTCTGTATGACCAGCGATTGGGTTCTTCTCTCCCAGATCAGTCCGCTAAAAGTCCCCTTGAGGATCCAGTTCTTGTTGGGCTGGTCCACCACTTGCCAGTATATGATCCCGATGGTCATGACAAAGAAGACGGCCACCCCGAGACAGGCAATAGCTCCTTTCCAGGTCTCGTTCATCTCCTTCAATCCCGTGTCCCATGTTACTTCTGGGATGGGGCTAGGGTTCCTATTTCGAGCGTGGGGCATTGTTGTTGTTTTTTTCAGATCAGCAAAGAATCAAATGCAAAAAATGCTGCAGAACTCTCTGTGCGTCAAAAATCCCTGTTGCTTCATCATGTCATGGTGTTTTCAGTGAGGCTAAAGGGTAAACCAGCCTACTCTTTATCTTTACACTGTTTACACTGTTGGGTTTTTTTTGCGCAATTGTGCCAGCAACAGAGACCTGTCATGTGAAGAAAGCTGTGAGAAAAAAAATCCCAGCGAGGAAATGAAACAGTATGAATGAATAATTGACTTACCACATACTGCTGCTGCTTTAAAAGAGTTGGATTTGTAAATTGCATTGGCTGCAGTGAGCTCGTGAGCAGCCCCGGGTTTGGCAGCAATGCCTACGAATAGCTCCTAAGACGCTGTCTTGCTTGCCCTGCACTTTCTGACGTAACGCCGGGTTGTTTCTTCATGGGAAAGGTGGAGAGAGGGAAATAGGGGATCAGGAGGGTTTGGCTGAGTCTTGGATCTGCATACCGGGGCGAGGAGGCCACGGACAGACTGGAAGGGAGGAACCCCCACACGTGCTCGCAAACTCTCCATGCGCCCTCCATGCGTAAAGACTGTGGAGACTTGTCATCTGGTGGTTTGGTAGACGGTCAATTGGGCATGGCAAAGTCGGGGCACTTTGATCTTGTCGTGTTTAGCCTTTTAATGGAGAGCAAAAAGTGGTATCTGAAATTGATTTCGAAACCACAATTGCAACGATCTAAGCAGTGGAAAATTTAAAAGCAGTGAACACTGTTTTCTGCGTTTCCGTTGAGTTAAATGGCTACATCTATTAGACTTAATTAAACTGATCCAGAGATTAAGAATACATTTTCAGCGATTTATAATTATTCCACTTATCCCGGGAATTAGATGAAAGGAGTTGGTGTTTGGAGATTTGGTCTGGATCCAGGGATTTATTAGTATATACAGGTTAATCTGGTTTTGGACAGTTTGTACTGACAGTATTGCTTAGTTTACAAAGTGACATTAAACCTCTCCAGCTCCAGGGTCAGTACTCTGTGCTATAACTCTTCATAGATTACTTTTACTCCATTACACCCTTACATTTACAATACCTACCTTGCCATCTCATTCCAGGTTCTTGAGAATACTTCTTTAGGATACTAGCAAAAGAAGCACACCATCCAATTTCTTGAACCTTCCTTATCACATGCTGTTAGACACTGAAAAAAAGACTAATAGATCAAACAAAGGAAACAAAACACATAACCTAATAGTCAATCCATTCCAAAAAATATTTGCTCATGAGGTCTGATCCTGTTTTCTCTAAATAAACTGAAAATCAGTCACCAAGATGAGAAGAGCTCACTTCTTTGAAATCCAGATGATCTTTCTATTAGTGTCATTTTCCTGCAACTTGTTTTGTTATCTGCCTTATTTTACTTTTACCAATATAGTGATACTGGTTTCTGACCAATTCTGACACATGTGAAACTGCACTGAAAACATTTTCTCATAAATCTGGGGGAAAAAAGTCATATTTAGGAGATGCTGAAATTGAGACTGAGTTGTTAGAATAAATATTTGTCGCAGTTCCACACTTTCAGGACCTGATATGTAAATAATTAGGGTGGTTTTTAGTCTAAAATATATTTAAAAAAAATCAGCATCTCTATAGAGGGTATGCGTCACTTCCCCTTCCGGAACACGCTGGACTGAGTGGCAAAACATCTGTTACCATGGCTGCGTTGGCTGCTGCAAACTGGGAGTAAAGCAAGTGATACTAACTGCTTACCAAAGAACCAGTGGGCCAACTCTTTCCCATTTTAGATGTGTTTTTTGTGTTTTAGCTGATTCAAGCTAACGCTGCTGCTTGTCTTTCTGCCACTCAGTGAGCGTAACTGTGTTCTGTGACATCATGCGCATACCCTCTATATGTTGCAAGTGATACAGACTAGCCCTGATAGACAGCACTAATTTGGCCGAAGGGCTAACCTACATACAGCATCCAAAATGTTATGGCCAACAGAGATTTTCTAACTTACATAATGCGTGTTGGGTTTGTTATAAGTTTTACTGGCATATTTTACGTCTTCCATTGCTAGTGCTTTAGGAAAATCACACGAAAAACAAAATGTGAAACAATACAAGAACCTGCAGTGGATTCAGGGTGTGTTGTGATATATCAAAATATATTATAGGTTGCGTGAGGTTTAATGTGCTGTGTTGCTCATGTGGTGCACAGAAGACATTTGAGGGGAGGAATGTTGTTTATGAGTAGGCTACTTCAAGGGTAGCAGGTGGTGGTGTGATTGGTCGAAGGTAGCATTTGTTGGCATTTGGACTGTCAACATCCATTGTGTCTGGAGTTATAATGTCAAGTCATAGTATGGACTACTGTTGGACATTACGGATGCTGCCTCAAAGTACATACATGCGGATGTACGATACAAAGCCATTCTCAACTCTTAGCTCTCACAGAAGCATATCGTTTGTCATAACTTTCTGAAACCTAAACTGTATACTGATCATGTTGGCTAATTTTAATTCAGTGTCACTATCCATTTATTTCAACACAGTTCTTACTGTAACATGGTCATGGCTCTATTGGTATCCAACAACAACTTTATTGGACTCAAAAATAAGACAAGAGGAATCATGGCTGGAACAATGTTGTTATGTTTGTAGGTTAAGGTCTTCTGTGGTGCCGTGCACAAGATATCCCAAGAGTGTCGGCTGACATACCTTGAAGATCAGTTGCCCCCATCCCTGTTTGTGCATATCCCCCCCCCCCCCCCCCCCCCCCCCGGATCTATCACATAACTCTGGCAGGGGCAGAGACACTGGATAAGGCTGTGGGAACCTGTGTGAGCACTCTTCTAATCACTCCACTTCAACTGTAGTCGATGTCAAAATCTTCTTTGCCTCAAACTGTTTCAGATGTTGCATTCTGTAAGCGCATTTGTGTGCATTTACTGTATATGAATAAGTGTTTGCATGTGTTTGTGTCTGCATGCTTGCATTTGGACCCCTGATATTCAAGTTCAACATGGGCCTTGTGGCAGCCAGGCTCCTGGGTCAGAGGTCAGGCTTATGACATCAACGGAACATCCAGGGGGGAGGGTCTAAATTTACACGCCATCCAGTTTGCCTCCAACTCCATCCCTCATGGCTATTAATAGGCAGAGGACTGCTGCGTGGCATGCACCCTCTCCCTCCAACAGTGTGAACATGGGACATGAAAAAGCAGAGGAATCTGACCTGAACTAGCCACTACCTCTGACCAGTCATTTAGTGTTGATGGCAAAGGGGCAATGGCTTAATTAGGTGTGGGGTGGAGGGGCTAATGGTTTATGTTTTTGTGTGTTAAATGGACTTAGTGCTTCATTCAGGCTGGGGACAGTTCAAAGTCAAAATTGAAAAACTTAGTAATAAATGCTTCACATCGTAAAAGTGATTTAGCACAATAAAAGAAAATTACTTCTTTTTCTTACCATGAGCATAATTTCTATTCTGTCATTACAGGGTGACGCCCCTGCTCTGTACTTATTTAAAAAAAATCTTAAATCTCAAATTATTTAAGGTGATTGCCTTTACAGCCATGCTAACAACTCTGAGCGGCTGTACTTGTACTACTGTGGTGCTTTGAGCTAAATGCTAAAATCAGTGCGCTAACATGCTCATTATTACAATGCCAGTACGTTTACCATCGTAGTGTAGCATGTTAGCATGCTCATATTGGTATTCAGCCCTAAACACAAAGTTCAGCTGAGGCTGATAATGGGAATGTGATTAAAGTCAATAGGATTCATCCTCTGGGCACCAGGGAGGTCAATCTATCTAATAGGCCTAGTTGTTGAGATATTTCAGTCTGGAACAAAGTGGTGGACCGACTGACTGACAGGATGACTTTGCTATTCATAGAGCCATGCCATAGGGGTAGCTTTAAATGTGGGTATAGATCGACTGACTTCTTCAGTGACCCCTGATTGATAATAAGCCATCTGCCACAGATTGTCAATGGGGGATGCGAATGGTTTTATAAACAACTGCGGCCTAAAATGATAATTGGCTCCCCCGACACAATTCTTCTTCATCCCTGACTGTGATACATAACACACATAACACACTGTAGCTCAAGCCTACTGTTTGAGCCTAGCCAGTGACAGCAGACGTTCAAAGGCCACTGTGGAGTTGGGTCTGGACTCAAAGTTCTCTCACTCATTGCTCTCTCTGTCTTTGATCATGTTCCTGTACCTGCTCTTCATCCACTTCTCCGTACCTCTATGCAATAAGGTGCCACTGCTGCTGTTGATACAATCTTTGGATGAGTTTTGCACATAAGGTATCATGTAAAAACTCAAGCTATCATTACAAGTATTTTTGCTGAGCAACTATTTGGGGAAATGATTCAGGGTATCCGGATGGTCCATTCTTTAAGGAAGGATGAAGTGGCTTCAGAGGCAAACGCTAAAACAGCAAGCCCTGTTACACACTAAACTATTCACTTCAACTGACAAACTTTTCCATCTTCATGTCTGGATCTACAATTTACCACTTTTCCTTTTTTCTTCTCTAGGATACTCAATATGGACGGCTTCTCCACCAGCTGCCCGAGAGTCGGACGGGGAAAGTTTCCACGCTGCCCCAGCTCCCGCTGTAGACCTAACTGTTTCCTTCTATCTACCTATGCTGTTAGTGCACTCCCTCCTCTACCCTTACGTTCTCCTTTTTTGTACTGTGACACAAACAGCCACTTTCCACTGCCCCAGACCTGAACCTTCATTCTAATTTTCTCTCACTGGCACGCCCCCTCTCTCGCTCTCACATACACACAAATGGCGCGAGTTAAATCCTATTTAGTTGGAAATACACTGTGGGCATTGCTGAATTAAAATGAACAGTAATTGATTGCTGATGAAACTCAAAATAAACCTTACGTGTCCAACCAAGTAGAGGGGTCATTTATGCGTGTGCATACGTACGTGCTTGAGAGGCTTTGTGTATGAGTACTATAGCTATGTATGCCAGGCTAAATGTCCTAGCCATTAACCAGAATATGACTTCTGCCAAACTAAGCCATAAGCAAAAAAAAAAAAAAATGTAAAAAGTAATGACAGCAGCAGAGCTCTCCCAGGCTTTTGCCCCGGTCATTTGAAAAGCAATACAACTTCATTAATCAGGTTTGTATTCTTATGGCAACCAGTGAAATTAGATAATGTTGATAACTTTTATTTTCCATCAAAGAGCCCAACTGTGTGCATTAACAAACAGGCTTGAATCGCATCTATAAATGGCAGAGTTGGATAACAGTGTGAGACCGGACCTTTGGCTGAAGGTTGCACCGGTTCATGTTGCTGTCCCCCTCCACTCCCCTTAGACCTGGCCCGGTCTGCACTGGCTGGAGCCTCGCTAAACATTGGCACCCTGATTGAGGTAATGAGTGCAGCTACTGCACCCAGATCAGGCTGCAGGTCTGAGGCCAAGGTAGAGATGAGGAAATCAACCGTACTCACGTAATACACACACACACACACACACACACACACACACACACACAAACAAATGCCTTTCTGCAAGCTATACGAGTGATGGATAATTCATCATTCACTGAAATAATATTAATACATTTGTCTAAATTTATATGTCTTACAAACAAAGAAGTAAAATAATGTTTGGCTGCTTGCTAATGTATATTAAGTAATATATATAAAAAGCCACACAAATCATGTCATCACATACACATACTGTAGATCCATTTACATAGTCAGAGCTGGATCAACCAACTAGCGGCCCCGGAGAAGAAAGTGATCTGTGGGCCCGTATCAAGCCCCTGTGGTAAATAATAATGTTATTTATGTTGATATTATTGTTAGTAATATTACTACATATTTATTTCCACACAGTTAACTTGGGTCATTTTGGGCCCCTGAAAGTCTGGGGCATTGGGGCAGTTGAAAGATTTGACCATTTGATAAACCAGCTTTGTAGCAAATTCATCAAGTGCATTTCTTTATGTAGTTAACAATTTATCAGTTCATATTTCCACAAAGGACCTTCACCTTTTTTGTCTTTGAATGCCGCCACCTACAGTATTAGAAATTAGAAACTGTATTTGTTTGGGCTGGTGGCACGGTGGTGCAGTGGTTAGCGCTGTCGCCTCACAGTCGTGGGTTCGAACCGGCCTTTCTGTGTGGAGTTTGCGTGTTCTCCCCGTGTCTGCGTGGGTTGTCTCCGGGTGCTCCAGCTTCCTCCCACCGTCCAAAGACATGTGGACTAGGTTGATTGGTGACCCTAAACTGTCCTTACGTGTGAGTGTGAACATGACTGGTTGTTTGTCTATGTGTGGCCCTGCGGTGGATTGGCGACTTGCCCAGGGTGTGCCCCGCCTTTCGCCTGATGGCAGCTGGGATTGGCTCCAGCCAATGAACCGGTACCCATCAAGTCCCAAACCACTACTCCACTGCCATGTGTAAAGATGAAATAATATAACCGGAACAGCTTGCACATTATGGTCTCAATACACTAATAAACACTCTATGAATGTTGAATTGTGGATTTTAAAATTAATGGAATTCAATTTAACTTTGATTTTATTCTATTTATCTAATGTTTTAATGTGTAATATGCAATGGCCAATACATGTTACGTTTTCAAAGAAACCTCCCCACCACTGCCTCACCACCGTTATAAATCTCCAGTACACTCTCATATCCGCTGTCAGATGACCAATTTCAAAGCAACAAACAAGTAAACAGCCAATGAACTGATGCTGGTGAACATTTCTTTTTCTTGAGGCAAAAAAATGGACAACTGTAAAGGTGTCAGGACTTTCTGATGTAGTGTGATAAATACAGGTGTCAACTGGTAAACATTACAACAACTGCACAATAATCAAATGCCTAACTGCCCTCCAGCACCCTTTACACACACATACACACACACTCCATGGCATCTTAACTGATGGAAACTTCCCTCTTTGGCATAGTGTGGTCCATTTACTGCCAGGTCTGAACCAGCTGAGCCAGGGACTCATGTTCCACTGAGGAGGCCTTCAATCATTCTTACCCCCGCTGCAGGCACATTGGAGTGGGTGAGATGTCTCCCTCTATACCCCTGTGGGAGGGAGACATGGGATGAGGTCTCCCTCTACTGCTGTCTCATTATATGTGCCCTGAGAAAATACTCACAACAAGGACATTCCCAAAATGGAAAATCATTATTAAAAAGAAAATGAGCTCTGCTGTTATTCAAGGAGGAGATGAAAGCAATAAAAATGGGAAAATTATAGCAAGCGGGGGATTTTACAGATTTTCTGATACATAACATGAACTATATAGTTTCATTATCACGATCAAAATATATAAATCTCTCCATCTATCCAACTGTAAACAACAGTATGTGTGGCAGAATTTACAGTGAAAGTGTTTTAACATAAACTATATCACATAAAACATGTGAAATGAGATATATGGATAACCAAACACTCAACTCACTCTCAGAATTAAGTAAACATTCAGCAGATTTACTTGATTGGCACTGGACTGAACAGTCAGCCCTGCATCATAAACAGTCCTGTCTTTAACAATAAAACACCTTCTCACTGGGCTATAATCAAACTGTTTATTGTGTAGCCTATAGGCTACTGGTAAAAGTTTGAATAACAAAACCCAATTTGTGGCAGGATCTAAAGATAATAGGCTACATAGCCTAGATATTATCAGAATAATGAGTCCCATATTTTCAGCCATTGTCATTTGATCTAGGGCTCGATTACAAGGGCTCCCTGTATGAGGTAGTATATGCTTTTGCAGATCAGTGTTTTCAGATTTTAAAGACTCATTTGTTATCATTTACTACTGGAAAAGTAGTTCAAAATATCTTCTCAAAGTCCAATGACAAATCTTGATTTTGAACAGTTCTAATTTAGTTCCTTGACCAGTGTAAGATTTTAAGCAATACATCAAACTATAAATACCTACAGTACACAATGAGCCGGTATTTGATAGCTGCAAACCATTAATACGGTCTTGCCACAGACTCACTAAGTTCTCCTCAAGGACAATGGACCAAATCCAGTGCGTCTGCGCCGGTTTCCCGGAAGTACATCCAAGCACGTGTAGCATTTGACAACCTTGAAAAAACTACAAAACAACTAACTTGCAGCTTATGTCTCATAACAAACCGTTCCAGTGATGCCAGTAACACGACTACTGTGAGTGTCACATTTTTTCATTTTTACATATATACATATGCGGAAGACGCATCAGCTAGATATTAAATACATGTTAGCAGTTTAACTTAGTAAGCTAGCAAGCCCAGCTAACGTTATCATCTCTCATCCTCCCAGCTGCCCTATAACACAGTGCCTGAATGTAACTATTTGCGCACGTTGTTTGCCTTAATTTACACATTATCACTGCGTTACAATCGGTGATTTGTGTGTCCACTGTGAATCTTAAATTATGTTACGCAACAACATTGTAGCCAGCATTAGCTAGCTATCCTAAAAACAAACTGCCGTTAACACGCAGGTGGAGTCGTAATTAACCTACTACAATAACTTTGCGGGTTACTGTGAGACACTCCGGACGCTGTAATTGTCACAGGTGAAGTAACAGACCAGTGTATATACTTATACTACATCGGGGCGATTCTGTCATTGTTCTTGAGGGATTAAAACCATGGTGTAAGGAAAGGGGGTGTCTAGCTGTAACTAATGTAAGATTACAGTAAAGCCTTTTGAGGCAGACTTATGATAATGACTGTATGAATAAAATTGACTTGACTAATGACGTCCACTTGCTTATATCTGGGAGGTAACGTTAGGCTTGTCTCAGTATACTGCTTTCTTGGTATACCATGGTATGAAAATTAACAGTTATCATACCATGTACATTTTCTTATCTGTGTTTGAAAAAAAAAAAAGCTACTGGATGGAGAATCTCACCTGTGCATCTTTTTATTTATTTTCAATAGGGACACTTTTAACCCACATTTCCATTGGGGGGGTTCAAGTTTTATCAGGACACAACATTTTCTGTAAATATAATAAAGCGTTTGTTCAACATAAAACACCCTTCGGTTTCATATCTTTAAAGGTCATTGTATCATATAAAAATAATTGTTTTATACTGTATACCATGATATTGTGTGATATTTTCTGAGACAGTTATTGTACTGTGAAATTCTCATACAGTTGCAACCCTACTGAGAACACTGCAGCACGGTAATCTACATTACAGTATGACCAGGCAAAAAACAAGAGCAGCTAGACGATCAGACCGATTATAAACAAGCCAATAGTGTAACACAAACCACATTGTTTGGAGGTAAAACTGAAAGTAGTTGGTAATTCCTCATTGTAGTTACAGGAAAACTGCGTGCAGACAGGTTTGTAAATTTCCTCTTCTGGCCTGGAATGGTGCAGGACCTTTTGTAATGTGGAAACACATTGTGTTTGATTTCAGATTTTTTCCTTGTTGATTTACCAAATATAAGGGAAGACATGACATCTCTTTTGTATGACTACCACAGAATTCTCAAACATGTCCTTTTGTGCCGTTTTCAAGTGATCTGGACTTTGACATAAAGAGATATGAAAAGGTTCCAACTCATTTCAGTGAAAAAGCTCTGATAAAGTGTCTGTACACTTCCTGCCAAGCACTAAACAACAGACAGATATTGTTTTTGAGTAGCTGGTGAACTCAGTGGAGCATTTGGCAGCTAAAAATCCAGACACTTCCATACAGCTGCAATGGCAGACATCACATCAAGGGTCACACAATGTGGTTTGGATGGCATGTAGCAAACCACAAACAGTGATCACATTCTGTGGGTTTCCATTACACAACCCTTCTGTTGAAATAGATCTTTTTTTATCTTATGCCTTTATCAAATTCTGGCAACAAGTAGGAAATGAAACTAAGCTATAATATCTTCCCAGTTGTTAGTGTGATTGTAGTAAATACTACAGGATGTCTTTTAATGATACTGTAGATGATAAGAGTCTGCCTCTCCTCTCAGATACCCTCTTTACCAGCTGGGCAACCCTCAGCTGAGGATCTTCAGACCAAACTGGTTCCTCACTCTGGTGAGGCCGGGAAAAGAACAGCCTCCTGACACTGTCCAGTTTCGCATTCCACTGGAGTAAGTATTTGCTCACAGATCTTCCTTGTCATCATGTAGACTTGGATTCAAGGAAATACAAATGCTGAGTAAACCTACTGTTATGCAGTGTTTCCCACAGAATGACACCGTAACTGTGGCGAGAGAGAGGGAGTGGCCGAGCGAGTGGAGATGCTGAGCGAATATATGCGCAGCTCTGTAATAAAATAAGATTTTTCCCATTTTAATATAAAAAAACAATATCAATATCTGGCAGTCAGTGTTGATAATGTGGCGGGCCACCAAAAATAAATCAATGTGTGGGGAAACACTGGTTATGTAATCAAAAGGGTTACTATTAGGAACGGCAATTGACAGCTGGTTCCTGTTTAGAAGTGATTTTAGGCAACAGTGCCAATACCACCAATATGTTTATTGTTGGCAATGCTTCTCATTAAATGTATGTTTTTTAGAAGATTACAGGTGAATAATCTCATCAACTGATTTAATGATTTATTTCTATAAAATAAAATAAAAAATAGCGAAAAATTAAAGCTGGTTTCAGCAACATTGGAGAAACCGCCCAAATTCCAGCTCCTTATAGTTTGCCTAGGGATTGTTCCAGTGGTACATTTGTGGATTTGCAATGCTTCATCTGCTAAACACCTTCTTTGCACATATTTGTCATCTTTCTGAAGTACTGGCTGCTCAGCCTCAGAGCTCCACATATTTTCAGCAGGTTGGATTACAATTATCAGGGGGGCCTGAACCTGGACCTTGAGGATGGAGAATAGCATCCCAGTGACTATTCAAACTCTCTATAGCAAAACAAGCTGATGTCCTGATTAGGCTGTAAATGTTAAGTCATTTTAGGTTGTTACTTCTCCTAAGCTATTGTATAAGTTTAGCTTAATTCCGACCTGTTATAAAAAAAAAAATCACACGTTTCATGTTTTAGGCTGCAATAAATTTGTTTTTACTGGCACTGCAGCAATGTTTCTGGACCAGTATTATGCAGCTGAACTACTGCATCATGGCCACCAGGTGGTGCGACAGCCTCAAGAACAGAAATCGGAGGCTTCAGTCCTCAACAGCATAGACTGTTCTAACCATCTTAAGGCTGTCTTTATTGAGCTCATTTGCAGTGATGACTTGCGGAAGACTGACAGAGGGAGTGGGGTAGGACGTGAGGTCAAAAGTGCTTTCATTTGGGGGTGCAGTGGAGGTTCGGGCCACTGTGGACAGCCAGTCGTCAGACATTAGTTACGTAGAGCAGCGAATATTAATATCTACACAGAAAATGAAAGCAAACTGCTTTTTATCATTCTCTAAAACCCATGTCCAATGGAGTATTACCACTTCATGGCCGCCTTATTTTGATGTGTTGGGGTTTTTTTGTTTTGTTGACATGTCAGTTTTGTTGGGTTTGGACAAAACATTATCTGTCAATGCAACAGGAGGTCCTTACCAGTCAGCACTCATCAGTGATGAGCTGATATGACTACCTTCGTGAGCCAAGGTCACTGAGGTTCGCAGTGCTCCGCAGGCAATGAGAAGGCCAGAGCCCACACTAGGGAGAAAAATTGAAGTTTGAGGCAGATCATCTATGTGTCTCTGGTGGGGTTTAGACCATAATCTGTTCATCCAGGTGCCTGGCCTCCCACTCTGATTCTTGCCTCTTCTCTGCCAAACTCCTAGGGTGCTTATGTAATTGTGTGTGTGTGTGTGTGTGTGTGTGTGTGTGTATTTGTGTCTGTGTGCACGTTTGTCAGTGTGGGTGAGTCAGTTTGTGAGAATGGTGTGTGTGTCTTTGTGTATATATGCACAAAAGTGGGTAAGTGCAGGGTGTGTGTGTGTTTTATAAGGGTGTGTAGGGGCTTTTTTTTTTCTTGCAGTCTTTGATGCCTGTGAGAGGTGCATGGCTGATTGATATACTGCTGGGGCCTCGGTGTGTGCTGGAAACACTGTTATTTTTTACTTTTCATACACACAGTGTAGTAAATGGACACATGGAGAAACGGTGACACAAACCAAATATCACTCCCACTCCCAGCTTATTGTTGAGTCTGAGTCATTACGGCAGTGAAAGCTCTTGTAGTTATGACTCTCGAGGGTAGGCGGTGTTAGCGTGGGCAAGTTGTAGTGCCCGAGCAGCTGTTAATGAGTGGTAATGTTGGCGTTCTTAGGGCAATAACACAAGGTGGCCTTTATCTCACTGACACCTGGGTGCAAGATATCTGTGGTTGTCTGTTTTGTTCTCGCTTACTTTCTTCTAGTTTTCTTGCTTGTTTGCAGTGTAACTCACATGCTATCGTCTGTGCACGTTTTTCTCTGTCCCACCCTGGACTCTGGTGTTTATTGTGCTTTTCTTAAATGCTTTGCAACGCGTCCAAAACTAATCCCTCTTTGGCACTTGTTGTTTGAGACACCTGGCCTGTGTTCTCTTGTAATTCTCTTTCTACCTGCTGGAGGGAAGTATTTGTTTGTCTTTTTGATTGTTCTTGAACCTTTTGTGCTATGTTAGTATTTCCTCTCTGCTCTAGAAGGAACATCATCAAATTTCTGGGCACACACACACACACACACACACACACACACACACACACACACACACATCTCTCTTGTGCCTCACCTGGCATGGCAAGAGGCCAGTGCTGACACACCATTTACACACACACACACACACACACACACACACACACACACACACACACACACACACACACAAACACAAACAAAGGAACTAAACAACAACACTGAACATTGTGTTCAGTCTACTACTCAGTCACATTTCATGCTACGATGCTGCAGTTTCTCACTGTAATTAGACATGAGCAAACTCATCCTGCTACACAGCAGCACACATTGTCTTTCCAATAAGACTGTTCAGTACCTGTTGAATCAAACAATGTTATGATCGTCGTGGCAATTGCTCGGTTTCTGTTCGCCTATTCCTCTTTATAAACACGGAGCTCAAGTTGGGAAACTGGGTTAGTTTTCACACTAATTAACCTCAGTTTATGTCATAGGAAGTCATTTAGCGAGGCAGTAGAGCAGTGTAACAAGCTGTCAAGTCTTTCCTGACCTGTCATCTTTGTAAGGAGTTTAGTGACTCCTGGTGACCTGTGCTTTGATCTATTTCTGTTCTATTGTCAGACCAAAACCCGAACAATCAATCTAATCCTTCACACGCTGCTCTCAACTTCTCAACTGTCTCTTTGCTCCATAAGTCTCAGGTTCCTCAATGGCTTTCCCTCTAAACAAAAGTCCGCTATTATCATCTTGATACTTAGTGTTGAGCAACTTCTGTGCATCTATTGTCTGTGTAGATGGGAGGGTTCAGGTAAGTGACTGTGTGTATCTCAACTCAAACCTGACACTGGGGCAGACTTTCACAATGAGGAGCGGCTTTCTTTTGCCTTTTATCTCCGTAGAAAACAACTCTCCTGTTTCATTCTCACCACTAAGCTGCTCTGACACAATGTACTTTGATGTTGTGCGTGCGTGCGTGCGTGCGTGCGTGCGTGCGTGCGTGTATGGATTGTTTTGTGTACCTTGGATGTTTACCCTACAACTTGTCAATAAAGGTAACACAGAAAATAAAGTCTGAGAGGCTTATTAGAACACAACGACATGTCAGAGGGACGGTTCAGCTATGCTGTTCCTCTTCGCGAATGCATTTTTCCAGTGTTTGGCATGTACAGTATCTCACAAAAGTGAGTACACCCCTCACTTATTTGTAAATATTTGATTATATCTTTTCATGTGACAACACTGAAGAAATGACACTTTGCTACAATGTAAAGTAGTGAGTGTACAGCTTGTATAACAGTGTAAATTTGCTGTCCCCTCAAAATAACACATCACACAGCCATTAATGTCTAAACCGCTTGCAACAAAAGTGAGTACCTAAGTGAAAATGTCCAAATTGGGCCCAAAGTGTCAATATTTTGTGTGGCCACCAATATTTTCCAGCACTGCCTTTAAACCTCTTAGGCACGGAGTTTACCAGAGCTTCACAGGTTGCCATTGCAGTCCTGTTTCACTCCTTCATGATAACATCACAGAGCTGGTGGATGTTAGAGACCTTGCGCTCTTCCACCTTCCGTTTGACGACGCCCCACAGATGCTCATTAGGGTTAAGGTCTGGAAACATGCTTGGCCAGTCTATCACCTTTACCCTCAGCTTCTTTAGCAAGGCAGTGGTCGTCTTGGAGGTGTGTTTGGGGTAGGGCTGAACAGTAAAACAATAATAACTATTGCAATGTAATGTTTTTCAATAACGATATAACAAATGTTCAATAGATATTCAATAAATGTTTGATTTTATTCACTTGAATCATACATGAATTAGGACTTAATTGAATTTAAAGTGATCCACTGTTTGGCCTCAAGTGTTGACCATAAAGAACAGTTTAAATCAATCATAATTAACTATCAGGTTTCTTCAACTTTCACTCAGGAGCAAAAATCAGCCTTTAAACGCGAAAGAAATAGCGATTTGATACTTGTGATAATTATAAATATTGAAAGATATGAAACTTTTTATTGTGATAACTTTTTGGCCATATCATCCAGCCCTAGTCTGGGGATGTTATCATGTTGGAATACTGCCCTGTGGCACAGTCTCCGAAGGGAGGGAATCATGCTCTGCTTCATTATGTCACAGTACATGTTGGCATTAATGGTTCCCTCATTGAACTGTAGCTCCCCAGTGCTGGCAGCACTCATGCAGTCCCAGACCATGGCGCTCTCACCACCATGCTTGACTGTAGGCAAGACACACTTGTCTTTGTACTCCTCACCTGGTTGCCGCCACACATACTTCATACCATCTGAACCAAATAAGTTTATCTTGGTCTTATCAGACCAAAGGACATCATTCAAGTAATCCATGTCCTTAGTCTGTTTGTTTTCAGCAAACTGTTTGGGGGCTTTTTTGTGATCATCATCTTTAGAAGAGGCTTCCTTTCGGGACAACAGCCATGCAGACCAATTTGATGCAGTGTGCGGCGTATGGTCTGAGCACTGACAGACTAACC